AGTTTTTTTAGAATTTACTAATTTTTATTAGTAATTTCTTAAGAACTGGGGGGCCTACTCAGAATTTTTAATATAATTTATTAAAAAAAATATTAAGTTTAACTGGATACTAGAAATCTAAAAAATATTTAAAATTTTTAAAAAAATCTTTATTACTGCTCCTGTCCTCGCGCATTAGAATTTTAAATAAGAAATATTAGTAAAAATTAACTTTTCTAGATAATATATAGAAGAAGTATTATTTTAATAAAATAATTAAAAAATTTTTTATTTAATAATATATTTTTTAAAGAAAAATCTGCCCGCAGAGTATAACTACCAGATTTATAATAAGAAATTACTAGTAATTATTTAAATTCTGTAAGAATAAGAATTAAAGTTTATTATATTTTTTTATTTTAAAATTTTTAGTAACTATTAGAACCTAAAATATTTTATAATTTAATAATAATTTATAAAATAATAAATATATTAAGTCTAGTTTTTAAGTTATTTTAATTTTATAATTAATTACTGTCCAGAAATAATAAATATTTAATTAAATATCTTATTTTAAAGATTCCAGAACATATTTAAGAAGAAAAATAAATATATTATAAATTAAAAAATCTAGTTATTTTGCTCTATACTTAAAAAAAAATTTATTTATATAATATTTATTAATAAAAATCCTGAAAAAGAAATCTCCGCGAGCCTAAAATCTAAGAAACTAATATTAAATAATTTATAGAAATAAATAGAATAAACTAATAAAAATTTAAAAAAATATTATAAAATAGTAGTTAAAAATAAATCTAAGTTTTTTAAATAACTAAAATTAAAAGTTTTTATTATAAAATATTAGCTAAACATGAACTAATATCTACTTTTTTAAAAGTAAGTCTGGATTTTTAATTTAAAATCTTTATAAACTCAGATTATCTAAGAAGTCTATAATAGTATAATTACTAGATATTCTGGATAGAACTAAACTTATAAAATAATTATTTATTATTATTACTAGCTAGATATGAGTAAAGATATCTATTAATTTTATTATAACTATAATAACTGTAAAGCTAATTATATTTAAAAAAATTATAAATAAGATTTTTTAAAACTATTACTAATTTTTAATTAATTTTAATAAAATATTATTATTAACTTCCTGGTAGACCTCCCGGAGTCTTAAAATTATAAAAATATTATAATTATTATTAATTAATTAATTAAAAATATTATTATTGAAGCTGTCCTGAGCATGAATATAAAAAATTTTATAAATATATTTATTTAAATATTTTATAATTATTATAAAATATTCTAGTCAGTAGTTTCAGACTGCGGTTTTTAATTTATAAATAAATTATAAATAATCTTATATAAGATCCTGGGTATTAAATAATATTTTTCTATTATTTATTATTTTAAAATAAATAGAGTAATAGAGTATTAAATTATAATTATTAAGATTTTTTTATAATATTTTATAAATTTATAATAAATTAATTAGTAAGAATTACTATTCCTAGTACAGCTAGTTCTAAATAATTAAAATTTTATATTAATAAAAGTAAGTCTTTTCTTCTTATAGTATAGTTTTTATATAAAGCTCTTAAACTTAAGTATTAAAGTAGATTTTTTAGAATATAATTAAGCTAGAAATTCTTAAAAATAAATTAAAATTATTTTTAATAAACTTTAAGAAGCCTGAGATATTACTAATTTAATAATAATAATAATATAAGAAATACAGAAATAGTATATTAATTAATAATAAAATTCTACTTTTTATTATAAAGAAAATAATAAGATCTGATTAGATTTAAAAAATATTATAATTAATTAATTTAGTAAGAAGTTAGACTAGTAGAATATAAAGTTTATAATACTAAAATAGATTAAGATATATATATATAGACTAGATATATTATTTAAAATCTATTTAATATTTTATATTAATTTATTTTAATCTGCTGCTATAAACTTTTTATTTATTTAAAAAATAATTAATTAATAATCAGATGTTATTATTACAGAAAATAATATTAAGAAATATATTATTAAAAAGATTATAAATAAAAAAAATATACTTTAAGGAAAATACAGCTATAAAAAAATATTTTTAGTTAAATAAAAAAAATATATTAAATTTATATAAGAACTAGTAACTGAGCTTTATAATATTAAAACTTATAAATATTAATATAATTTTATTTATTTATCTTATTTAAAAAAATCTACATCGGCTCAGCTGCATCATGATAAAGAAAATAATAATTAAAAAAAACTAGATCTTATCAGCTATCTAAAATCAGAATATTTATATTTTAATCTGTCTAATTCTGGATCTTGACCTAGAAATATTTATAAAAAAAATAGAAATCTCTAGAGTAAGTAAAGAAGTTTACTGGAATTATAAAGAAAAACTTCCAGAAAAATTATTTATAAGAAGAATTAATTTATCTGTAGATTAGATAATTCTTTCTCTAATAAATTTAATTTCTTTACTAACTACTATACCTTACATAGTCCTCCCGGCTTCTTAGCCCGTCACAATTAGTATTATCTATCTTAAACAGATCTATGAGAATAACTTTAAATAATTAAAGTTAAATATTATCTTAATCCTGCTAGTTATAATTAATAATTATAAGAAATATAAAGTTAATTATATCTTATAAATTAAGATTAATAAAATACTGTTATAGTAGAAGAACAGAAAATAAATCTAGAAATTATTAAATAATATATAAAAGAATATTCCTGAGATATTAAAAATATATTAAAAAAATTAGTAATAGTAATAGATGCTCTACTATATATAAAAAATTATTATATTTATATTTATTTTTATATTTATTTATTATTTTCTGATTTTACTTATTTTCTTTTTATTAATTTTATTTATTTTTTTTTATTTATTTCTCTGCTTACTAATCAACTGGTTAATTTTATTAAAATTTAATATATTATATAATTTATTATAAGTCTTTATCTTATTTTAATTTTTATCTTATCTTAACTTTTATTTTATTTTAATTCTAATCTCACTTCCTCTTATTATTCTATTCTTTTTTTTATATTATTTTAATTTTTTTTATTTTTAATTCTTTTCTGAGTCTTTACTTCAGTCTATTTTTTTTAAATAAAACAGTATCTTTTTTATTTATAATATATTATTCTCTAATAACCTCTCTGACAGTGATGGTAAGAGTAATATAATAAAAATTTTATATTATAAAGTAATTAATACTGACAGAGAATTTATAAAAATTATTAATATTAATTTTTATAATCTGCTAATCTAGTATTATAAAATATTATTTATTTTAAATATTCTATTTAATAAAAAAAAATCAGACTTGTCTATTACTAAGTAATGGTTAAAATTATAAATATACTAGTTAGTAAATACTAGTTCTAATTATAATATTAAATTATTAATATATATCTATTTCACGGATATATAAATCTATATTATTTTATATAATAATACTATTACTGCTTCTACCTGTAATTAGTATTAAGTAATTAATTTTATTAAAAAAAAAGAATTATAAGCTAATTATATTCTATAAAATCTAATAATATAATTAAAGAAGAAAAATATCTGTTATTTTTTTATTATTAATAATTATTATATATTAGACAGAGATCTTGTATATAAAAATAAGAATTAGATTATTAATTATAAATATTCTATAGAATAGATAATTATATATAAAATAATTATAATTAATATTAATATTTTTATTAAATAACTAGTAAATATTTATAATATTAATTAAGCTAAATAAAGCTATTTTTATATTTTAAATATAATTATAGACTTCTTTATTAAGATAAAATATTTTATAATTATTAATTTTCTGGTTAGTGTTATATTAGTTAACTTAAAAAATAAAATAATTTTTATAACTAATAAGACTTTATATAATTTTTATAAACTGGTTATAGGCTTTTTCAGAATAATTAATTTTAATTTTTTAATAATTATAAATAATATTAATATTACCTGGACTTGTCCTGTCTTTAAAATAATCTAAAATATAATAAATATATAATAGTAGATAAATAATCTTATTATATATCTAGTATATTTCAGGAATAAATTCTAAGATCTGAATCTATTTTTAATTATAAAAAAAGTAATCAGAGAAGCTATAGTATTATATCTAGATAATATTATTAATAAGAAAGTTATTTAAAATATCTTATATATTATTAAATAAGACTGAATCTCTACTTTTATTATTAAAATCTGTATTCTGTATGTTTTATTCATATTCTCTATAATATAAAATCTCTTGATTTTCTTTATATATATATATCTTATATATTTTCTTACTTGTTTATGCTTTACTACTTGCTTATAATAATATTTCTACTTATTTATACTTTACTACTTACTTATAATATATTTTACTTATTATATTTTTCTACTTATATTTAAATATTTATTATTATTATTATCTGTTAAGGATAATGGCTTATATAAAGTAGTAGTTTGCAGTATATCTTTCTGATTGGGATATAATAAAGATGCTTCTACTATTTTCTGTTAGATAGCTCTAGAAGAAGAATATAATTAATTATCTGCTTCTGCTTATAAAGGATCCTTTTCTATGTTTGTTGTATAGACTTAGATTGGTTACTCCAGATCGGAGCATGGGCAGCCTGGACTCCAATAGTCCTCTTTCGCCTGACGCGTAAGCCTGACCACACCAAGGCTCCATTTACTTAGGGTTTTGCTATCATCATGCATCGAGGGAGCGGGGCTGTGTGGCGGTATGCTATGACCACGGTTGTTGTTTTGCTTCTGCCAGCTCATCTGGGCTCGTGAGGTGCAAGTGACTGAGATACTTGCGCGAGGCTGAACACACATCCTAACAGAAAAATGATAAACATTGAATAATGCTTTAGTCTCCCTACTATACCTGGTCACCTACCTGCATGGAATGCCACAATTGTTAATTCTAGTTGATTCCTTATTCGCGGTAATATCTTTCTGCCACGGCATGAGTCCACCACTTCCCGACCTGACTCATGATGACTACACCATCGCATGCATCTGCCCCATGGGCGTTGAGCTTGCAGCTGTCGAAGGAATGATGGATGAGCAGCATCCCAATCTTCCATCCAGCATTGATAAGAACACCTATACATTCGGACGCATGGGAGCACATAATATAGTAGTGGCAGTAATGCCAGAAGCAGGCAATGGTCGTGCCGCAGCGGTGGCAACGCAACTATCAAGCGATTTCCAATCGATTAGATTCAGTCTCTTAATTGGCATTGGTGGTGGCATCCCGGACATTGCGAGAGACATTGACATCCGACTCGGGGATGTGGTAGTCAGCAGGCCATCAAATTGGTTCGGAGGCGTGGTACAATTCGATCGCGGGAAGGACCATTCTTATAACCAGTTCGAGCGCACAGGAATGCTACAGAAGCCCCCAGATATTCTTTTGTCTACCGTGCAGAGACTGGAAGCCCTCCATGCCCGGGTAGACAGTCGAATTCCTGTCTTCTTGGAAGAAATGCTTGCGAGATTCCCGAAGATGAGGAAGCGAAACTATGTTTATCAGGGAGCCACGAAGGACCAACTGTTCCGGATGGAGTACGAACATATTGGGGGCACTGACTGTGGAGATTGTGATTCATGCCAAACCGTCGAACGACGAAGTTCGAGATGATTCAACTCCTATGATTCACTATGGAACGATCGGATCATCAAATGTTGTCATACGGGACAGCGTGAAGAGGGAGATCTTTAAGGCTGACTTGGGCATTCTCTGTGCTGAGATGGAAGCAGCGGGCTTGATTAACAATTTCCCTTGTTTGATTATTCGTGGCATCTGTGATTATGCGGATTCACACAAAAACAAGGCATGGCAGCCTTATGCTGCCGCTACGGCTGCTGGGTATGCGAAAGAGTTGCTTTCTCTGATCCCTTCTCCGTGCAAGCCCTCGAAAGAAAATATAGAAGTGGCTTCGTTTGCACCGAGGCAGCAAGCTTCTGCCATTCGGGCAATCAACACGACAAGTTAATGCACAGCCTGTGGCTCGTGATCTCATGCTTTCTCTAGATTAAGAAAAAGCTTATGTTCTGTAACAGCCACTTGTAGGTCACAGGAGAAGACACGGGAGGCTGATGATTCAATTTCTGTTCCGGGTACGAGAGCGTGATCATTACGCTGCAGGTATACCTGAAGCCATCCACTACAATAGAGTCCTTACAGTAATGCATGTCCTTGCAGCAGGACAGGTGGTCATACAGACAACTATATTGACTGTTGACCATTGACGGGCACTCTTTGCCAACATCTGCATGTCGTTGTTCTGCTGCACATGAACAAAAAAGGAATCATCGTCATCAAATACCCAGGGCTTGCTCAGCCAGCCAAAATGACAAATGGTGCATTAGGGGTAGGCGGTTCCCCTCACCCTCAAATGCTTTGCATATTCTGTCACAACCCGCTGGTACTGCTTACAGGAACGAGGTTTGCTCAGGCATTGGTAAAGTCGCATCCTATTTAAGTCTTACTCTATAGAACGAATTAACCTTGAAACCTGAGCAACCACTGGATGTAAAGCCTAGTAGTTAATTTCTATAGAGGAAGAAATCTGTAGTCAAACGGAGTACAGTCACGCACTGATCTCCATACACACGATAAATCGTTTTCCGAAATTTATCCAACGCAGAAAGCAGACATATGCAAATAATACATGACTTTCTTATCTGTCAAAGAGCAGAGCCTAACCAAGAAGTTAATGAAGAAAAGTGGGCACCATGTAGCCTTCAATGATCAGCAGCACTTGGTGATGCAATTAGCGGAGAAAGGTATACTAAAAAGGTCATAGCGGCGTGGCTGTATACTGGTGTTGTGCAGGGTATCGTCTTCAGACCTTGATGCAAGAGTCAGCACAACTGCGTTGGCAACTTGGCGCGTTAGTAACCAAAGAATTGGTCTGTAGTAGAGAATAAGTGATCTTGCCAACGGCCAGTGGTAGGTGTGGACTTCCAGTATGCAATTGGGCACTTTGCTTCGAACCGTTCATTGGATTATTCCGTCGGAATGTCCTGGAACCTGATACAGTGGGAAATTACTTCGAGCATAGGATGAGCTCGATGTGGGTATGGGAATAGGAGGGGGAGGGGACACATGGGGTATTTAAAGGAGGCTGCTTCCTCGGGTTGTAAGAGAAGCAAAATCAAATCCTCAGCCTGTCTATCAATCATCAAATACATTATTCATAATATCACATACCTTCTAAGTTCCTGGTGACATCATGCCTAGCCCTGCAACTACCAGCCCTTTTGGCTTTATGGCTCAGTATCAAGCCAAGGGTCTTATTACGGTATGTTCTATCTTCCTATCTTTCTTCCAATGATAATCTCTAATCAACCCTCTGGCTAAGCTGATTCCAGGATGAGGGCTTCAAAGCCTTCAGAGACGCGTACACGGGGCATCTTCCAGACGTGAAAATGTATGTAGCAGAAGAAGACGGGATGCATGTCTTCTACTACAACGCTGGTCTGGAAACAGGCGGGGCCGTGTTCCGCACTAATCGCGCAGACGCCGTGGCCTCTATTCTGCATATGGTGCAAGATAATGGAGGGGAGATTGAGAAGGTTTCAATCGACGTCCTCGGTGCCCGCGCTGGATTGGAAGTCCAGACCTTGAATGATTATTTTCCTGTCTATGCGGGCGCTGATGCGACTGCACATCTCGTCGACTTGAAGGGGGGCCCATGCTATGGGACCCTTGGTGTCGGAGTGGATACAGAACTTGGGTACAAAGACCAGTCAGTTGGCTGTAAAGTCCTGGGCTGTGGGATAAGAGTCGGGAGGGTCTGTGAGATTTCCGCATTCGGGTCGAAGATTGGGATTGATTGGGGAAAGCTCTTTTGACGCTGACCACCCGCTGATATCACTGTGCACTGGAATTGTTTTTCATGACAGAGTGTTCTTGGTAGCTTTTAGGGGATGTTGAAATCTAAGGTGTAGCGATCAAGTAACTCGGCAATGTATATGCATAACGTCGTAAAGGTCGCGGGATAGTAGGTGATACTAGGTTGGATACGGTGGAAGATAGAGTAGTTATAATTCTGAGGAGAGATAATGAAGAATATGGAGATCATAGTTCAAAGGTTAATGGATCTCTCTGTCGTCTGGATCTTTGATTCTCCAACCCCTTCTCAGCTTTAAAAGTCTTCGCCCTGAAACTTGTCAGGAGACAAGTCCTCTTTTAGTATACTGTTGATTGTATTTTTGTTTATACTTTATTGGTTTGACATCGTTATCCATAGAGGTATGTAAGTTTACTATCATGGGTCCAATAGAAACAGTCAACTTCAACTAACTAAGCATCATTTAATGAAATGAAGTATATGTGGATCCTTGATATAATTAATTGAGCTTTTGCGCTACCAATCACTGTAGTTTCATTCTGTATAAGGTTTTCAATTATGTCCTTGAAAACCTCAAAATGTGCCCAAACGGAGTTGATAGCTGATGATAACGATGAGTGCGAAGCATGCTTTGGTGAGTACCTGATCAGGCGATGGAGGTGGATAGATCAATAATTTGCGAGGCAGTGAAGTAATCAGATACTCCACCTATACATTTGCACTAGTGTACGCATCACATTGTAAGTTGTATTTCAATGACAACAGGAAGAAGCTTCGTTAGTACACTATGATCGATCATGTATTATATCTCTTATAATATATTATGATATGCCTTGCATCCTCCTGGAAGTGCTACGCGTTCTTCATAGACAGGGCAACCCATTTATTTCAGTCAAATCCATCCACACTGTGGACAGTCCAGCAACACCAACAGTTTCGCGATACCAACGCAGGAATCCCTACTATACCTATTGAGATTCTACACCGGGTTCCCCAAGGATCCTAAAGGTATGTAGTATTGTGCTGTTGAGAGAGGTACTGGACAATGACACCATAGATCATGACAATAGCAACGGATTGGGTAATATGCGAGAGGATGTTAAACAGGTACACAACGAAGAGCATAAGGTCGAAGACAGAGACTTAGTATTAGATCTGTTTATCATATCGCCATAATAGCCCATGATGTTATCTAACGGGGGGGCGGCTTCACCGATGGCTTAACGATTTCTTATGCCTTCCCTACGTATGTTTACTCAATGAAGGTAAAGATAGCAGTATGCACACTATGTCGACCGCTGTTGCGGGCCCCAGATATCCTTCTGCTTCAGGGATTCGAGGAGTTGGTCCACCCCCTGTTGGTTCTTGCTCGGGATGGAGGCATCCCCAGCCACCCTAGCGGGACCTGGGTCATTCAGAATCTCAACACGTCGCGTTGAGTTGCGAACAACCTCCAAAATCGTTCCTCCCCAAATATCCTTATCTTCCACGCATCTTAGCATGGCGGATGCGACTTCTTCGGGCGTTGCCCATCCGTCTTTCTCCTCGTCGATAAGCATCATTTTCTCCCGGTTCTCGACCCACAGTGGGGTACGTATAAGACCGGGGGCCACTGCATTCACACGAACGCCGATTGCCTGCTCCAGGGGGGCCAAACACCGCACGAAGCCGGTAATGGCGGCCTTTGAAGCGCCATACATGGGACACACAACGTTTGGCAGTTGGCCTGCCACGGAGGAGATGTGAATAACGCGGCGGGGATTCTGCGGGGAGACGGGAGCTACGTTGGGGCTTGTGGGATGCAGCCAGTGCGACAAGGCCAGTTGGGTAGTTCGGATGGGATGCGTGACGTTGATGTCCAGTAGAGCGTATCGGTCGCTGTCCTCTTTGTCTTTGCTCATGGCGGAGCCGGGTGGCTGCCAAAAATTCGACCACGGGGGCTCGTAGACACCGGCACCAGGACAGAGGATCTGAAATTCCTCAAACAAGGACAAGGTCAAGTCAAACATGCGTTTCAAGTCGGCCCAAGAGGTGACGTCTGTGCGAATAAAAACTGCTCGCGGGGAGGAGTCGGCGGCCTCATACTTAGCGATGAGTTGCTCTGCTTCCGGTCGCAAGGCGATGTCGGCTACCACGACATTGCAATTCCTGGATAGCAGGAGGGATGCGAATGATAGATTGATCCCTATCATTGTCAGAAGAGTGCTCCAGTATGAAGAAGAAGAAGGGGAAACTAACCCGAGCCAGCGCCCGTGACAATGGCCGTCTTCCCTTCCACCGAGAAGGGCGCGATATCTTCCGTGGAGGCTGTCATTGTTGTGATTGAAGCAGTAACAGCGCAGAATTTCCCAAGTCTGCTTGCCTACCCCTCAGTTCCAGTCGAAGCCCAGGACTAAATAGCTGTTTTCCTCTGGGTGCCCATGGGAGCGGGGAGGGGGTGCCGTGTGTGATGCCAGACCAGTTGCCAGCGTGCGGGGAACGAGCAAATCATAACATGCTGGAGAATATCGGGCTTGATCCGATCATCTCGGGCCAGATTCCGCGGTTAATTCAAGTCGTTGAGTCGCTGTGAGCAAGTCGTGAGGAACAAACAGACAGGGACCCATTGGGTGGACCAGTTCAAGGAACCCTGGATGAATGCCGCGGGCTGACATGCAGGAGAATCCGACCGGTCGCGATCCACCGATCTGTCAGGCAGTGATCTCATGACAGCAGGGTGAGAAGCTTGATGGCGTTATAATGCAGACGATCGGCCATTATGAGGTCTGGATCAGGGGAATGGGGATAACATGAATGAGTGAATGTTTGGGATTGCATTGGAGAGACAAGAGGATGAAGAAGCTGTTGGAGTCTTGGCAAGGGGGCAGTGCTGTTGCTTAAAAAGAGACTCAGCCACACTCCCCAGTCATGCCTTTTTCTCTACCCCTTCATAAAGCGAGGGAGACTTCCCCATCTTGTATCTGAAAGTGGATTGATTTCCTTCATCTTTGACATATGAAATCATACTCAGAAAGACCCTGGGTGGTCCAATGCACGTCAACGTGATCATCCGATGTAGTAAGTAAGTAGCAAGTAAATACTCAAAATGCTGATATGTGTCTCTGGTGATTCACGGATCCAGTCCCAAACTCCTTCCCAATGATCATCATTATCATCATGTACTCATTGACCAAGATAGCAGACCACGAAGAAGAAAAAGAAAATACTGTCATGACACTCCCAACGCCTGACTGATCGCACATCTTTACTGGGAATGCCGCATGTGTATCCCCGTCGTGCGATCCGCCGCCAACACTCGATACACACGCAGCAGATCCTCCATTGACGCTTGCGTGTCTGGGTGTGTTTTCCCTAACACCTTCTCCCGGCCACGAACGGCTTGCTCCACGAGCGTCTCAGCCTCGTCCCATCGGCCTTGGGACTGGTAGATGGCCCCCAGGTTGGCCATGGTCGTCAACGTGTGGGGATGGAGTGCTCCGAGATTCTTCTGCATCAGACGCAACGCCTGCACGGTCAATGCTTCGGCGCTACCCGTCTTTCCTTGACCCTGGTATGTCAAGGCGAGATCCGCCATGGCAGTCAGGGTTAATGGATTCTGCTCACCCAGGCGTGACTTCATCACAGCCACCGCTCGTGCCCCAAGACTGGCGGCCTCCTCCATCCGTTCCTGCCCCCGGTAGGTGGACGCCAAGTTGATCATCGACATCAAAGTCTGCGGATGCTGCTCGCCTAGTTTGATCTTGCTTATCTCTACGACCTGCGTCTCCAGATGTTCTGCCTCCTCCAACCGCCCCTGGTCCCGGTACATCGTTGCAAGGTTTGCCATGGATGTCAGCGTCAAGGGGTGCTGGGTCCCGAGCCGCTTGATACGGATGTCCATCACTTCCGACTCCAACTTCAACGCCTCCTCCAATTTACCCTGCTCGCGATACGTGGCTGCTAGGTTGGACTTCCACATCAAGGTTGACCCATGGTGCTCACCCATCGCACGTGTACATTGTTCCACCACCCTCTTCTCCAGTCGTTCCGCATCATCATATCGCCCCATGTGAGTGTACGTGTTGGCCAGGTTGCCCATGGACGTGAGGGTGGACTGGTCATCCTGGCCGAATCGTCGGGTCTTAATCTGCAGCAGACGAACTTCCAGTGCCTCAGATTGTCGCCAATGCCCCTCCTTGCGATATGCGGTAGCCAAGTTGGACATAGAGGCCATCGTGTGGGGGTGGTCCTCTCCCAAGACTTTGCGGCGCGCCTCTGTGACCTGGCGACCCAGATCGATCGCTTCCGCCCAACGGCCCTGACCACAATACCCGGAAACCAGGTTGTGAACGGCGGCCATGGTGATGGGGTCGTTGGGACCTAGCTGCGCCCGTCGGGCGTCGACCACAATTGTTCCGACATCTACGGCAGAGTTCCACTGACCCCGTTCAAGGAAGGCCAGGACTAGCCCCCCGAACCGCTTCAGCGCGATACCGGAGTCACCCCTATTCTCACTGCTAACCTGCTCCACCACCGTCTCTAGCTCGGCGGCTGCATCAGCAAGTCCTTGCTTCCGATACCGTTTCGACAGCGCTCTGAACGCCTTCAAATACGAAGGGGAAAGCGAAACATCCATCGATGTACGGAGAGCGGACTTCCCGCGGATCCCCCAGAACCTTGACAGGAGCTTCAATACAATGCGTGGGGATGCTGGGGAATAGTTTCTTCGATCGCCGGGTGGACGGATGTGGAAATGTGGTAAGGAGGAACTTAAAACCGACGGGCTGAGATTAATTAATAATCCGAGGTGTGAGGAGATAACGGCCAACGATCGTGTTCAAAGAGGAGAGGGGAAGAGGGAAGCGGTTTTAGCAGTCGCGAAGACGCTCGGACGACAGACGCGGATGGAGGAAGGGAAGCGGTGACAAGCTGAAGCGCATCAAGAGCCGCTCACGGGAACTGACAGATAGGGAGAGACTTTGCAGACAAGTTCAGGGAGATGACGGGATGACGACGAGCGGACAAGCAGATGCAGGATGGAGAGTCTCAAGTCAGAGCATGACCAGATTCATTTGCTTCCGCCAAGCCGCTAGGGTGCTGGAAAGGCTGGAGGATCCCATCCTCTTTCTCCGAGTCAGTTCTGTCGTGCGTGTCGGGGGGAGGGGGGGCGTTGCTGCGTTCCCATCACTTGCCCCGAGGTTTCCGGTTATCAGTCAGGCTCATTCCTTGATTGGTAGGCTTATAAAGGGGCCCCGTTGGAAGCAGTGGACTGGCAATCAAATTCAGTGGAGATTGCACCAGTTGGACGCGATGGATGGGAACTGGGAAGGGCTTCTTTTCCCTTTTCAGCCCTGTCGGGCCAGAAATAGAAAAGTCACGGAAAATGACAGCCGCGATTACCATACCGTCTCGAACATCCCCCATACCGTCTCATACGGTATTGTTCCCGTCGGTTCAGCTTCAGGTTCTGTCTGATGCTTGATCCGATTTCCACTCATCTCAGCCTCTCCCCTTCTCTCCTCTCTCTCTGTCTCTGTGTCTCTGTCTCTCTCTCTCTCTCTCTTCCCCTCTTCCTTTTCCGTTCCACTGCCCATCGCTCTCACGGGGCCTCGCCATCTCTTCCTTGCTCTGCGACATCTTTACCCCCTTAACCCACGTCATCTTCTCCGTCACTGTCGGACTGGAGCCATGATCGTCGGGGTTTAAAATTGGTCAACTCTCATCGACGGAAGCCCGCCTGCTACTTTGCGCCGTCAGCTGTCACCCTCATTGCTCTTCTTCGTCCCTGGTGGTCTCGCCCCTCCCTCTTCGTCCCACCTGTCACCATGTCTCGGCCAGAGTTCAATGATTCCCCCTTGCCGAAAGACTCCCACCAGTACGATCCGGTCATGCAATCGGAGCCCGAGCCGGACTCGCCCGTCGTTTCCTCCTCTCCCATCCGCCACCGTACCCTCCGGCAGAGAATCTCTGCCGCCGTCGCCAAGTCTGGCTCCAAACCGTTGCTATGCTTTCTGCCTCTAGGCCTTGTGGCGGACGCGCTACACTGGAACCCCGTCCTGGTGTCCATCTACAACTTCATCGCCGTCATTCCCCTCTCCGTCATAGTTTCGGATTGCTCGGATGAACTGTCCGACTCGCTAGGCCAGCTCATGGGGGGCTTGATCAATGCGACCTTTGGTAACTGTGTCGAGCTGTCGGTGAGTCTCAACACCTCTGCTGGACCCTAGCGATGTGAGCTAATCTCATGACGGTGACTTTCCTAGACCGGCATCTTGGCCCTTATTCGTGGCGAAATATACTTTGCGCAATCTGTCATGATTGGGAGCATTTTGTCCGATCTCCTTCTCATCCTTGGTTGCTGCCTCGTCGCCGCCTCATACAATACCTTCATCCTCCATTTCAACAAACCTGTCACCGGCGCGCTCGCCTCATTGATGGTGGTCACCTCGGTTGGACTGATTCTGCCTTCAGTCTTGTATTCCACCTTCCCATTCGACCTTGGGGACCAGATCGTAGCGTTTTCACGTGGCACATCTGCCGTTCTATTGGCGCTCTATGGTGGGTATCTCTATTTTCAGCTGGGTACCCATAGCCACCTCTTCCTCCAAGGGGAGACCGAGAGCAACTCCTCGCGGGAGTCACAGCGCAGCATGAACTGGCTCACGACAACCCTGATTCTATCTTCGTTAGCCATAGTTGCTTGCACGAAGAACATCATGGACAGCATTCCCGGAACTGCGGCAAACCTAAATATCTCGAAGACATTCATTGCGACTATTCTGATTCCCATAATTAGCAACAGCTGTGAAGGGGCAGTAGTCATTACTGCCTGTGGTGGTGGTGGCGATGTCAACTTCGCCATCAGTATGATCGTGAGCAGTATCCTGCAGATCGGATTGTTTGCCATTCCCTTCCTAGTCATGCTGGGTTGGGTCATAGGTACACCGATGACGCTATATTTCGAAACCTTCCACACCGTGGTTCTATTCTTCTCCGTGCTGCTGGTGAACTGCATTCTGCAGGACGGGAAGTACACCTATATTCACGGGAGCATGTTGGTCGCTATGTACGTTACTCCGGTAAAAGGTTGTGTTGTTCTACATATGCTAACAGTGATGACAGGTATGCGATTTTGACGCTTGCTTTCTACGTTCGGTAGACGACTGCCTTAACATCATAATCTTATCATCTAAGTAGTTGGGATTGCTGATTTATCTTGGAGCACGGACTTTCGGACACATTGGCCAGCGTTATATATATACACATATACATATATCATGTTGATAATGCATAGGACTCAATATCATGTGCTTACGACCGCGACGTCCTTAATCGTGCTCACGCTGGGACACACATAGAAGGCGACTCCCGTGATGATGTACCTATGGGTTCGTTAAAAATGGTGTAAAATTGATGGTTGTGCATCTAGGGTATACTCACGTTCCACAAAGCATGAGGCCGTCAAAGTAGTTGGCCCGGCCTTCGTGAATCACGTGGCTCATGACCATGGCGGCGAGGAACAGCATGGTCGCCTCGAAATTGTCCATCTGCAGAGTCACCGATTGGCCCAGGGACCAGCCCATGAGGACCAGAGTTGGTGTGACCAACAGGGTGAGGCGTAGAATGCTGTTCAAGATGTTTCGGACGGCGACCTCCACATGGCCCTGGCGTGAGATGACCACAATGGTCAGATATTTGGACACGTTCCCCACCAGCGGCACCCAGACCAAAATGGGGAAGCTGGTGCCAGTTCCCCGCTCTAACGCAGCATTGACACTGTTCACAATGTGTACAACACACCCCGTCAAGCAGGCCACTGCGATGAGAAGAGCAACGCCAGCCGATTGCGGTGTGAACATGACCGGTTCGTGGTCCATTGGCATTCTATTATCGTCTGCGCGGTTTTCGCTGCTGGCATCGCTCAAGTGCGACTCGGCCGCCCCCTCGGCAATGCGAAACAAGGCCGCATGGGACTTGAGTTGGAAAAGAAGGAAGACACCAAATAGACCCAGCAGGATGAGTGCGATCCCATACGAAACCATTTGTACCTCATGACTGGTCACCACGGCATTGATGGAGAGGGTATCCAACGAGGGAAATGTGACCATCACGCCGGGAAGCACCAAGGAGATGCATACCATCATCATCAACGATGACATGATGCTAGTCAAGTTGCGATCAAAGTGTAGATGTTCCTTGTCGTAGCCAGAGATCAAGAAACAGCTACCAAGCACCTGCGTCAATTATTAACTAACTTGATCCAACTTGCCAAACATAGACGGCTTAATCGCCTACCAGCAGAGAATAGCACAGGATACTGCCAACCACCACTGAGTGGAAGATACGGCCTTGACCCATTTGCGCTGACACAAGGCCAACCATCAGTTCAACCGAGTTACCTAGGGTAGATTTCAGGATCTCGTGAAGAAATGGTCCAAGGGTATGGGACAGCTCGGTGATAGCAATCGTAATGATGGCCATCAGCGGAACCAAGGCGACCAGGTTGAACCAGAATACGAGCTGCCTTGGCCATCCCAATAGGCCGGAGAGAAGTCCCAGGAGGACAAAGCCAGCAAGTGCTTTCAATACGGGGTGACTACCGATCCTCATAATGGCCAGGTGGAAGGGACTGGTACGCCCGTGGAGGGGCGCGGTCGGCGAAGATGCGCGCTCATAGGGAGGCGGCGTAGGAGGATCCGATTCTGCCGATATACCAGAGGGGCCCTCCATGGTTGAAGAATAGTGGTGGCGGTGCCTCACCGTAGGCATTTCAAGAGAGAAAGATGTTCCTCACGGGTTGAGATAGATCAATAGGCTTTTGCTTCTTCTCAGGAAGAGGCGGCGCTTCAGAGGCTCTTTTTGGTTCAGCTGATCGGATGGATCTGAAAGTTAGTAGCTTAACCAGTCTAACCAGCTTACGGGACCTGGCTGTATCCGCGGTAAGGGGTTACGGTACCGTGCTCCCCGAGCCCGAACCAAGCGCTTTCCTGGGCAGGCGGCCCCCTCAGCCTTACAGGGCTGGGTGGCATTTTCCCATTGGCTGCCATCCCCACCTCCCCGTCTGACCGAGGGGGTATGGCGCCTAGGCACCTCCATTCTGGCCCAATGGACGCTGGGGACTTCCGTCTGGCCCCACCCACCTGCCCGCCCAGTGCGCTCTTTTTGTGTAAACAACCGTATCGGTCACACCTGACAACTGTTCGAACCGTACCTGACGGTATTTCGCCAAACGGCCCCGCGCGCCTTACAACTCCGGAGAGACTCTGGAAGGAGATAAGTCCGAGCCAACCTACCTTCTGAGAGATCCTCAGCTTCTTGATGGAACTTTCCTCGTTAACACCATTTCATGATGACCCCCTTCAAGAATGCCCAGGAATCGGGCACACCCTCTCTCCTCGCAAGCGTCCGGCATACGGTCGAGGTGACTTTTCTGTCCAGCTATACCAATGTGCTATTAATCTTTGTATTCCTGGGGATACTCTCCGGCTCCCAAGAATGGAACCCCTCCGCCGTGTTTATCCTGAATTTTCTGGCTATCTTCCCACTGGCCTCGTTGCTGTCCTTTGCGACCGAGGAATTGGCGAAAAGCGTCGGCCAAACGGTAGGAGGCCTGATCAATGCGTCTTTTGGCAATGCCATCGAAATGATCGTAAGACAACTCCCTGATCCATCGCATGTGGTACAAGCTAAATGTAGCATTCAGGTTGGTATCACGGCTGTGAGCCAGGGTGAGATCCATATGGTGCAGTCTTCGATGGTTGGCTCGATCCTGTCTGGCACGCTGCTGGTATGTTACGCATTACTCCTATGCTCCTACTAGAATTTCTGACCGTCATCGCCTAGGTTCTGGGATGCTGTTTCTTTGCCAGCGGCTATGATAAGGAGACAGTCCACTTCAATGTCGATGTGACGGGGATCATGTCGTCCTTGATGATTGTATCCTCCTCCGCGCTAATCATCCCATCAACCTTGTATTCCACGTCTCTGTATGCCTCTCCCGGTGGAAACGAGTATATCCTCCACCTATCACATATTACCGCTGCCTTGCTATTGCTATTCTATTTTGTCTATCTATACTTCCAGCTTAGCAGCCACTCCCATCTCTTCACTAGCACCGAAGACGACGAAGAGGAGGAGGAGCGCCAGCTGGGACCCATGGCAGCTAGCATCATTCTTATTGCCGCTACGCTGGGAGTGACTGTTTGTTCCGACTACCTCGTAGAAGGGGTCGATGGCTTTGTTGAAGCCTACGGGGTGAGCCGGGCCTTCTTGGGCCTGATCGTCGTGCCGATTGTGGGTAACGCTGGCGAGTTTGCAACCACCGTGAAAGCAGCCAAGGAAGGAAAGGTGGATCTGGCCATTGGTGTGATTGTTGGCAGCACGCTTCAAATCGCACTTTTCGTCACGCCATTCTTGGTACTGTATGGATGGGCTTTGGGTCAACCGATGTCGTTGCGCTTCAACTCGTTCGAGACCGCCTGTTTCTCGCTGGCGGTGGTGGTGATGAATTGTCTGATTCGTGAGGGTCGGTCGAATTACTTTGCGGGTGTCTTGTTGTGTGGAACGTGGGTTTCCCTGTCCCTCTCTTTCCAAAGCAGCCCTGTTTTTCTAATCCAAGTCTAGTTATCTGATCATTGCGATTGCCTTTTATGTCCACCCAGATATTGTCGTTCCCGGAGAGTAAATACCCTGACATCAGGTATGGTATTCGGTAGCCCGTCTACACAGGGATATGACTTGTCAGGGGACGATCCATCAATATTTTGCTATAGAATTTTTATACCAATACACCGTCTCAATGCGACCATTATGATCGACAGGTTGGATACTTCTAATGCCTTGACGACGGAAATCCGACGGGCAAAAGATGCTGCCGAGTAAATTAGGCAAAAATTACAGACCGGCCAAGCGGGGAGGCCGAAGATTACCGGCGGGGTTTACGCGGCTGCCTTTTGACCCGTATCATCAATACCGACCAATACGAGGGATTTGGGAGTGTCTTTGCTCCGCCCCAAACAGGAAAATCAAGCAGCATTACTAGTTTAGTTGGAGGGATCTCACTCTCTCCATCTCCTAACTCCTTGGTCTCCCCTGATTTCATCTCATCCATCCTCACTTTGCCCAGGGAGAGCGACTCAACTCCACATTCCCTGACTATATTGAATCTAGCACTTGCCTTTATCGCGTAATCTCTTCATTTCCCGCCGGTCGGACCCGTCCGCGATGACAGTAACGACCATCTGCTTGGTCTAATTCAAACGCCCAACACCTACGGTAGCATGAACTCCCTGTCACGGTCATGAAGGAGGCAGGTAAATCCATGATCACAAATCCCATGTCCACTAGTGACCCACCCCAGCCCCTAGCCAGCTATACCTATAGAGCCAATCGGTGACTAACATGATCGCAGAGCCTGAGCGAGAAGCCTGTCATCGCCCATGGACCACTGGTTCGGGGCGAGCCCAGCGCATTCGAGTTTTCGGCTGAGCAGTTGAGCGGACTCATCGAATCACGAAGTCTGGATACATTCTACGCCTTTGGTGGCCTCCGCGGAATAGAAAGGGGCCTGCGAAGCGATCGAAATACCGGATTAAGCGTGGACGAGTCGAGCGTCAGGAACCATGAACCATCGGCCACAGCCTCGTCCGTCGCCAAACCTTCCCACCAGCCCCATCATCGCCATCTTCACCTCCACAATCACCATGGCACCGAACAATTCGCAGACCGACGCGCTGTCTTCGGCAACAACCGCCTCCCCGTTCCCAAGTCACCCACGGTCCTGCAGTTGATATGGGCGGCATACAATGACCACGTCCTCTTCCTCCTGACAGGAGCGGCAATCATTTCGCTTGCCCTAGGCCTATACCAAACATTCGGAACTCAGCATTCGAGCTCAAACCCGCCTGTCGAATGGGTAGAAGGGGTAGCCATCATCGTTGCCATCATAGTCATCGTGCTGGTGGGCGCAGGCAATGATTTCCAGAAAGAGCTGCAATTTCAAAAGTTAAACAAGAAGAAACAAGATCGCCTTGTGAGGGTAATCCGCTCCGGCCGGCCACAGGAGGTACCTATCAACGATCTGGTGGTCGGGGATGTCGTACACATGGAGCCAGGAGATGTCATACCGGCCGATGGAATCCTGATTCGCGGCCACCACATCCGATGCGATGAATCAGCTGCGACCGGTGAGTCAAACTTGTTGTTGAAGCAGTCCGGTGATGAGGTCGCGGATGCGATTGCGGATTGCCGTGATACTAAATACCTTGACCCGTTCGTGATCTCGGGGTCCAAGGTCGCAGAAGGCCTCGGCTCGTTCCTGGTAATAGCAACCGGCAATCATTCGAGTTATGGCAAGATCCTCCTAAGCCTGGAAGAAGACCCTGGCTTCACACCACTGCAGTCGCGACTCAACGTATTAGCGAAATACATCGCCAAATTTGGCGGTATTGCCGGTCTGGTCTTGTTCGTCATCCTGTTCATCAAGTTCTTGGTTGGTCTGCGCCACTCGACGTCGTCCGCGACCGAAAAAGGCCAGGATTTCTTGGAAGTTTTCATCATTGCTCTGACAGTAGTTGTCATTGCTGTGCCTGAAGGACTTCCATTAACCGTGACGCTTTCTCTTGCCTTTGCCACCACCAGGATGTTGAAGGACAACAACTTAGTGCGACATTTGCGCGCCTGTGAGATCATGGGCAATGCTACCGACATTTGCTCGGACAAGACCGGGACCTTGACCCAAAATAAGATGACCGTGGTCGCAGGTATTATTGGCATAGAAGAGTTCTCGGATTTAGGACCACAGACGGACGCCCCTTCGCGTGACGTTCCGACTACTGCTGTGTTGAAATCTCGCCTGCACAATTATGTGAAATCACTAATTGTTAATGCGGTTGCTTACAACACCACGGCGTTCGAGTCGATAGCGGATGGAAATGTCACCTTTGTTGGATCTAAGACCGAGGCTGCTTTGCTCTATTTCGCCCGAGACAACATGGGCTTGGGCCCATTGGAACTGACACGATCTGGTTATGAAGTTGTGGAGCTCATACCCTTTGATGCTACGCGCAAGTGCATGATCACTGTGGTGTGCTTGGATGATGTTAATGGGTATAAGCTGTATAGGGCGTATATAAAAGGAGCGCCCGAGGTATTGATGGGGTTCTGTAACAGGACGCTGGTGGAACCGACAAAAGGCGATTCCGTTACCGCATTGACTGCAAGTACCAAGGAAGCTATACGCCAGAAGGTAGAAGCCTACTCAAAGTGGTCGCTAAGGGCTATCGCGTTATGCTACCGAGATTTCGAGGTGTGGCCCCCGAACCGAGCTGGAGAGATTCAGTCCGACACACTCGACCTCGAAGATATACTTAACAACCTGACTTTGATTGGAATTGCCGGTATCCGTGATCCTTTGCGGGAGGGAGCTCATGATGCCGTGGAGACTTGCCGTCGGGCGGGAGTGACGGTGCGTATGGTGACTGGAGATAATCTGTTAACAGCGCAATCTATCGCCGAGGAATGCGCGATTGTCACCAACAACGAGGACATTGTTATGGAAGGACACGAGTTTAGACGCTTGACAGAGGAGGAGCAATTAGAGATTGCACCCCGTCTTAAAGTTCTGGCACGATCTCAACCAGAGGATAAACGTACGCTTGTGCGACGGCTGAAGCAAATTGGGGCAACGGTTGCCGTCACTGGAGATGGAACAAATGACGCTCCTGCACTCAAAGCAGCTGACGTTGGATTTTCCATGGGAATATCGGGGACAGAAATTGCGCGCGAGGCTTCAGCCATTGTCTTAATGGATGATAATTTTGGCTCGATTGTGAAGGCGATCATGTGGGGTAGGGCAGTCAGTGATGCGGTTCAAAAGTTCTTGCAGGTAAGTCGTCTGACTGAAGATACTATCATTCTCGGAGCACGAGCTGACCGCCTGGCTTAGTTCCAAATTACTATCACCTTCACCTCTGTCGGACTGGCATTCGTCACCTCCGTCGCTAGCTCCAGCGAAACATCAGTGCTGACAGCCGTGCAACTGATGTGGGTAAATCTAATCCAAGATACCCTGGCGGCACTTGCGCTTGCCACCGATCCACCGTCTCCCAGAGTGTTGGACCGAACGCCCGACAAGAGAACTACTCCCTTGATAACAGTGCCAATGTGGAAGATGATAATCGGGCAGTCGATATACCAGCTCGCCGTGACATTAGTGCTCCACTTTGCCGGTAACAGCATATTCTCATACACCACCGCGCACGAACACTCCCAGCTACAAACAGCTGTATTCAACACATACGTTTGGATGCAAGTATTCAATCTATACAAGTAAGCTCCAGTCCTCCACATGCACTGGTCGACGCAGTGCTAACTATTCTCAGCACCCGCGCACTCGGCAACAACATCAACGTCTTCGAAGGCATCCACCGTAACTGGCTCTTCATCGGTGTCAACGTTATCATGATCGGCGGACAAATGATCATCATGTTCGTGGGCGGGCGCGCATTCTCCATCACTCGCCTCACTGGCGTGCAATGGGCCTACTCTGTTGTTTTGGGTGTCTTGTCTCTTCTTGTCGGGGTAGTAGTGCGTTTCATCCCGGATAGCCTCGTCGAGCGATTATTTGCGGGTGTAGGATTGTTTATGGGTCCCTTGTGGCGGTTATTGAGGGTGAACATTGAGTAAAGGGATTGTTTATATATGATCTTGGCAGAACTTGTATATATTGGGTCTTCTTTTTCTTTGTTGATAGTGTTGGGTGGGTTGGAAAGGAATGGATTATTCTTATCTTCTTTGGCGTCAATCTATGCAGACTTTTCTCGACTCGCTTAATGGTCCTTCCCCCTTAGGACTTCGATGCTGACAGACCTATGAGGGGGGAAGTAGTGATGTTAGCTGGTCGCAGGAACTCATTCTCATCATGGACCTCGGATATGATGTGGATAATATTTGTCAACACAGAATATGCAACATATAATAGAATGGTTCTGGCTTAGAATCCCCCGCTTGTCAGGTGCCAAGGTAATGTTCGTTGTGTCAAGCTGAAAACTCCCTTTGCGCTTTCAGAACTTCCGCCAATAGATCCGGGTACCACCTCTGGCCCACGTCTGGGTGACTTGCCAAAAGAGCCTTGAAAATGCCATATCCAGGGTTCTCCTTATGGTACTGTGAGAAGAATGCCTCCGCATCTGACTTGACTTGCTGGTCCTTGACCAAATCAAGGATGTGGCCCGGGAGCTCTAATAGCATGTCATCGTGAGCCAGGTCCAATCTGAAAGTCTGAAAGACAGGAATAGAAAACCGTGGGCCTAGAAAGCGTCCGTTCGAATCTGTAAAGCACTCCGGCCGCAAGTTCACCCTATGAGTGGTAGCTGTACACACCCTACTAGTCATATATTCCAGTGAGCGACCAACATTCATCACCAAGGTGTTCGGTACTGGAGGCACAGGAACCCAATCTCCAGCCTTGTTTTGAGCTTCAAGTCCCGCATGCAGTGTTGCTTGTAGGAGATAGGTGAGGAACCCGCCGTCTTTGTGCGATCCAACGCCTTGAAAGGTGTTGTTGTTATTCGTAGCAGATGCCACCGGAGGGGAGGGATATTTCACAATAGACATCTTATTGCGCGGTGGGACATCGAAGAATTTGAAGAAGGCATTCGGATGCAAATCCAAGGCTTCAGCGACCAGAATCTTCATTGCATCTGCTAAGGTGCTGACACTATCGAGATATTGTTCTAACGATTCGCGGAAACCAGGAACGGCCGTTTCATCTGGCCACTGAAAACACATTTGTCAATTTGCAGTATGTTATGTCGAAGACGGAATAAGAAAGTACCTGATTTGGTCCTTGAGCGTTGCGCCAAACTGGTTCATCAGGACTCGCTGCCGGGAGGGGTGTTAGAAACTGATTAATATCAGTCAACGCCCGCATCTTTGAAGAAACGTTCGAGTAAGATTGATTACATGAAACAACTCTCGATGGTCCATTTGCTGAGCGGTCTTTTCCGCACCTAGTCGCGAGTACCCTAGGAAATGCCTGCTATTGACCATGTCGATCTCTAGCTTCTTCTCCAGAGGTAGGTTGCATAACTGTATTGCCTTCTCCACAAACGCTTCCTTCACATCTGCGGCGATCGGTGGGTTTTTGAGATAGAAAAATCCTACCATCACCAGGGCTTCTTTGAGCTGTGCTAAAAAAAGGGTCTTAGTGGTTGGTGACAGAGCGAGTGAGTAGTCGATTATCGGAATGGAGACGAAAGACGGTTTCCGTCCTTCAGCAGCATGATTTGCCATTTGAAATAAATGATCTTGACGGCGATAATTCTGGATTAGTTCTCTGAATTTGAACACGGGCCCGTGGCATAGATAAATCATCAGTACGTCTTTACTAAATACCCATTTCGACCATTAGGTAGATCTCTACATAGTGTCATTTGTACACGTCACACCCTCTTTGGCAATCCCCGCACGTAACAGTGCATGACACGTACATATATTCAAACTTTTCTGACTATCCTGTGCTTTACATGCTGCAGCGCGATCTGGTAAGTGATGAAGGCCAATTAATTCAATACCTCATGTGAATCGGCGGATCAAGTGGCATGAATTAATAGAATAAAGAAGAATAATAGCTAAAAGGAATATACATGAATACGATAAGCTTATCTGCTGATTGGGCATCCTGTTGGTTACCCCGCTGCTGCCACTCTAGTCTAGGGAGAACCTATATCTCTTGGAAGTATTGAAACATATGAAACGAATGAATGAGAAAGGCTAAATATTAAAGTTTAAATATTGAGAATCAAGCAATCATAATAAATAAACTACTTAGTAATATATATTAGCAAAAAAAAAAAAAAAAAGTACAAGGATCACAGTAGTATATATATATATATATCATACGAAACAATACTAAACCTTATTGATAAGATAGTCAACAGAAATATACTTATTATTGTAACTCCCAGCCGAGCCGGCCACCCCTAGCACACTGCCATAGAATCATCGTACTACTTACTCATTGCTGATTCAGAGCCTTTGATACAAAGAGTGGTTGCATGTAGGAACGCGTTGGGCGGTGTGCTGGGTGGCTGGTGCAGCCGGGAGTTACGTTATAGGATTGAAGATATGAGATAGTGTGAGGTATCTGCCATTCTTGCGATATGACTATCGCGAGGGTTGTTGGAATATACGTCCTTACACGACCAGCGCTATTATTCTCTTGTTAGAACCTACCACGTGACTAAGGCAGGTTTAGTGCGGTGTCTGAGCGAGGCGGAAAAAGAAAACAATTTGAGCCCGACAGGTGGGTTTGTATTGGCCAATGTAGATTCATTCTCTATATCTATTCCCCACCATAAACAAATACTAGCTCAAATGAATTATAAGATGTCTAACACGTGATTAATCTCGAAGACGTCTGATCAACAAATGTCTCCGCCCCGGGTTCTAGATTGGCAAACAACTTGTCAAATATCTCCTTGCCTCCTTCATCATGCACAAGTCCAATCCAAATGAATGAGGAGAGGATGTCTCGCATTTCCTCCCATGAGCGGACTCGACAGCTTCCTAGGTAATACAGCAGCCAGTGCCTGAAATTCCGCCTGACGGCGGGTAAAAATACCACAAGACCACCGACAGTTAACAACCAAATCCACAGTTGCGGAGAGACGTCGTTCCGCTTGGCTAAGCCATTCAAGCAGCGCTGGTAAGAGGCAGCCAGGTGGACGTACGGGGTCGGGTCGCTGCGGAACTGGAGGAAGATGTCAAATCCGTAGCTGAGTAAAGCTAGTCGGATCGCCTCGTCGAGGGACCCGGGCTCAAAGCTCATGTGTAACAGGGGGTACATGACGGAGGCCATTGTTTTCATAAAATCCGTCTCGGGAATCATGCCATTTGTCTTGGTGGTCAAGTTGACCTGGGCACAGAATCCCTGCATAATGTGCCACATCCGCGCCAGACCGGGGTCAAGCTCCCGGACGAACGACGGGACGGGGCGAGATCGCGGCGTGAAGCAAAGGTCGGATGGGACAAAGATGTCGAGATCGCGGTTCTCGAAAAAGGCGGGTTTTTCTCCACTGTGGATCGCTAGTCCCACATCGCATCTGATCACAGGTTAGACTATGTTGCAACCAACCATCGAGGTAGTCTAATACGAAAGGGGAATAAAATAATCGGCAAAGACAGTAGGGAGATGAAATGAAGGGAAGACCCACCGGATAAGATCAATGACTAGTTTGTTATTGGAAGTAAATGCTCCTAGTCCTCCGCGCAGCCTGACCATCTTGCGTAAACCCTGAGTATGATGTAGTACGGCAGCATAATCACCCACAATATGCGCGTGCAGAATCAAGATAATGACGACCATTACGGTTGCATTGGACACGCGGATCTGCTCCTCCCCGAGCCGATTACGTAGCAGGCGGATGGCTTTCCCCAGATGAGGGGACTGGGCCGCTTCCGGGCCCTTGTAGATACCAAAGTATGATTGGGTGGTGATGACCATGGCGTTGAGGTAGGCTGCGTCTAGTGACAGCATGTCGAGAACCCATGATCGACTAGAGGCGTTGAACACTATGCATACGGCAAGCGGGTAGAACTCTGTCTTTGCCCGTTCAGTGACTATGAAGGTTTACATTTAGTGGGTCCGATTGAAACACCAACAGGTGGAATCGGGGACGCGGCACCTACAGCGAAGGATAGTGGCTAGGGCTGCAGGGCTGGTGGTGTCATCAGCCAGCTGGACGAAGGACATGTCGTTGCCCACTCTGCGGGGAAGATCTGATGCCGCGCGGGTGGCTGATACTTGTGTAGATGGCAATAATGGTAAATCCACCCCATCGGCAGGAGGAGCCGAAGTCTCGTCTGTGCACGCGTCCGCCGGAGTCGATGGATCGGCCCCTGCTTGGCGATAGCGGGATTTGCCACGGTTCTTGCCAATCATAACATGGCTGCGAATGAGTTTGCGGGTACGAGAATCGACTTTCTTGGTGCCGGTGGAGACGATGAATGGCATGTCCGCCATGGAAACTATTGTGCGAAAGAGGTAAGAGAGGCATTCAGTGGGCTACAGCAAAAGCAAGAAAAACTTGGTACTGGAGACGGCGCACATACCAGACTGCTTGGAGGGCGACATGGCGGCGATCGAGCCCCAGTCTAGGAACAGAGGGCGTCCGGCGCACGTCCCAGACTGGTGGGATAGATCTCACGAGGATGGTCCAAGGACAGGTGCTTGGACGAGGCTAAACGAATGAGACGAGTGAGTATTTAGATTGTTGGCTAAAAAGGGCAAGCAATCCGGGGGGGACTCGGGAGTGTCAGGAAATATAAGAGACGGATTCCTCGGTGGTGAGAGAGCTGGACTTGCTGCGGGCTGCCCTTAGTACTTTCCTTTCCTGGTTGGTTCGGATTGTTTCCGCTGTCACCTGCTGATACTGCTATCATTTAATTGGACGATATCCTACATGTGGGCCTGGGATTGTTGCCTGCTTTGGGTTTAGCCTGGCACGCATGTGATGCAGCTTGGCAATGGACTGAATCGGGAAAGATTAGAGAGTCTCGTTCTATAATCCACTCCGCGCAGCTTCAATTTATAGTAAACAGCAGGAAATACTTCAATTACTACTACCTCATTGTGCTATTGTACATATCCTCGTCTAAGCAGACACACGATTACCGGACTCTTCAACAAATTCAGACTAGCACTCATTGAGCCCAATAATCCCTTGCATCCCCACGCGAGAACTATCTCTCCAGCTTCTTGCATTTATGGTAGGCCTCTGCCTCTCGTGCAAGATGACAAAATCCCTTATCGATCTGATCGTAGCTTCGCTGGGGCAACTCCTCGCCCTTGATTGCCAGAGGGGTCTGAGTGTCCCCGCAGGGAATACTGTAGATCCACCGCGCAAGTAGTTCATAGTTTTCACGGCAGTTCTCGGTGAAATCAACGAATTTGCTTTTCGAAATGTGAAGATACTCTCCGTCGTGATATGCTTGCAAGATTCGAGCCTGAGAGCGGAAGATGGAGACGACCAGGACCTGTGATACAAGCATTGCGTTAGAGCAGGTATTTGTAGAATTAAATCTTTCGGGGCTGCTTGAATGTTGTGAATGCGACTTGGACCTCATTTGATTATGCAACACTCACCGGAAATGTGCGATGCTTTATATAATTGAATCGATTCAGCCGCCATCGCATGAAACCGACAATGGGCAAGACTTCACTCCGGCGAAGGGGTTCTTCGGGATCAGCGTAGTTGTACATCTGGAAAATGCAGTGGGGGATATCCAACGAATCTGCTTCCATCTCCCCAATAGTCTGCCATGAATACGGTACATCTGGCGTATGCTCGCCACTAGCAATACGGGGGCTTGCGCGGTAGCATCTACCCGGCAGGTGAGCAAGTATTGTGAGCAAAGACAATGTCTATCGTCACTACAACTCTGAAAGTTTGTACTTACTGCCGATGGACCCAGGTTTGGTCCTTGCGATCATGAAACCATGCAGCAAAGACTCTGCCGGAAACACTTTGTAGGGTCAAACAAACCCGGAGTGACTCATCGCTGCGTCCTTCATGCCATTTTGAAAAGTGCACATTGTCCCAGTTGATCTCCGGTAATTCTGCTTTTGGTAGTGGGTGGTAAAATGACTGTTGGACATCCGAACATGCTCCTTCAAGGTCGAGTTCAGACAACTTGATTCCCAGTGTCTCCAAATCATCATCTGCCAACACTGAGTGCTTGAAGGCCTTTGTTGCTGTGAAGATGCGCCTCAAATGGCGGGATACAACATTGGTCTGGGCTACCCGCAGTCGAGCGTCTTCACGACAGTTCTCGATTAAGGTCTCGAAGGACCGTTTCACTCCCATAATTGGATCTATAGGAAAGGAGAATGGTCGATTTCGTGTGACAACGCCGAACGCGTGGAGGAGAGAAAGAGCAATATGAACAATACAGTACGCGTGGAATTGGTATAGAAACGTGAAACGTGGCTGTACCCCAGTCCTAGTTCGGAATTTTTCCTGATCGTAAAAAATGTCGAGATGGCAGCGTGAACTTAGGACGAAGGATAGCAACTGGCAAGGGAGAGCAGCGAAGCACTTGCAGACCTTTATACCTGAGACAGTAGTAGAGAGAACCAGTGAAAGTGACTTCGCACACAGAACCAGCCTAATTGGAAGAGAAATCCAGGCCAGTGAATTCAGAAGGTAGTCAATATAGAGGGTACTAATTATACACAGATCCTGCCTTGGTTCCTAATTTGTGCATTCGCCCTTATGCAGATAAATTCGATAAAGGCCGCCTCATCATTCAACATGCTGGTCTCTTCACCATGTAGGCTAGGACAAGAAAAGTTCTATCACAGCCATGCAGTCACTGATCTTTCTGCTTCAATGCATCGTTGATATGCTATATTAACCCATGGCATGTAGTACTATATAAAATAACATGGCACCACTGGGCCTGGTCTGATACTTTAAACTTGGGTTCACCCATCTCTGGCGCCTTTTCACACGGTGCACTACCTGCTTCCATATTTATATTCTGTTTCAGGCTTCAGGAACTGTTTCTTCTTCGGACCAAGATTTCTGTGCTATAACATGTCTGTTCCTGAATTCGTTGTAGGGGCTCTGGATCAGGAGTCCTGGAATGAATGGGCAGAAAGGTACCAGGTAAAAGGGTTAAGTATCTATGAGTTGGAAGCCTATGATCCAGCATCAAAAATAAGTGACCCCCAATATCTAGCTCTGAGGGCATTGTGGAAGGTTGGGCGGGCTAGTGAGTTCCAACCAGACAAATGGGGAATCCAGGGCGTTGAGGCTGCTACGGAGAAGCTGGCGAAGCTCAAGCATTGGAAAAGCTTCCTTGAGGCGATTTCACTAGAGACCAATTTAGATGAAATGCTTCCCATACAGGGTGACCTTGGCGCTTTTACGCTGATTTGGTATTATGGCCAGCTCATTCGCTGGGCGCCGAGTGCGGCCGATACTGAAGAAAACGCCAATTTCACTCCATGGTCCGAGCGATTGAGGGAAGAGAAAGAAAGATTCGAGCAGCAAAAGCTTTTCCGAACAAACTCATACACATCCTTATGCGACTCATCTGGCTGAGTACCTGAAGATATATGGAGATCCGGAAGAGCAAAGGAAAGGAACATGTGGACTACCATCAAGCAGTGAGAGTCAATTCTACCAGTCTTCCGAAACTGCCTGCATTGATCTAGACCCCGAAGCATGCAGTGATGACTCTAGACTGGATCCAAGCTACGAGGAGCGGGAAGACTTTGCACAAGTCTCTGATGAGATTATAGTTAATGCATACTTGCTGGGTCTGGCAAGTGTAGTAACCTTCTCTATCGAAGGCGTCGAAGCCCACTGGACCCCAGAACGGAAGGGGTACAAAGTCTGTGATGAGAAAGGCATCAAGCTGTATGAAGCACGGACGGATGGTCATATGTACCTAAATGGTAATGGAAAGACCAAAGCCATTGTCGAAGTCAAACCCGTGGTGCGAGCCGAATTACCCCGGGTCATGATGCAGGAAGTCGCTCAAATGGCGGCATGGATCCACGCCGAAAAGGACGTTTTACAGGATGAAAACCTGGCGGAACAATGGTTAGTCACCCCTGCACCCAGTGTGTATGTCTAGAAGTCTCTTACGCCAAGTGAGAGAGAATGTGGAGGAAGCAGCTAAGCATCTGACACCATAGGTTCCGTCGCTTGCTCTGGTCGATGAATCGACATGAGCTATATATAATCATTGCCGAGTATAATGGGGACTACGTCGACTATTTGACGAATCCACGAGGCCAAGCGGAATGCGAATCTTTCATGACGATGAATCAGTTTGGCCCATGGGACATTAGAGACTCTACTCAGGTTGCTGAATTTGCTGCCATATTATTGGCAGTAACTTTACAGTTCAGTAAGGGTCTGCCCCTTATCTGAAACTCAATCGGAGATTCTCATTCTCATTCTGCACTGCTTGGTTGTGCTAGTATCTCTGAGTCTCAATTTGCGGCTACTGTTCGAAAGGGGAACTAGATTGACCGCCATATTGAATGAACCAGCAGAGATGTATTATTCTACAGTACCTCCACTGCCCGCCGCTTATATATTGATGGCTGCGTACCTACGTCTTTTTCTATCAATTCTTTGATAGATACACAGCTCATTGTACTGTTACGAGAAAGCAAAATGCTTTCTTAAGAAACCTGCCTCAGAATACTATCCCAACGGGATGAGTGGAACCAGAGATTGCTGGCACCAGTATGAACAGTTACCCTACATTGATATCGAAAGTAAAATGGAGCCCGAATATTTCAAGTCTATTCCGAACCGTCAACGCTAATGAAGAATATCTAAAGAAGCAGGTCATGCTTCAAAAGCGGAGCCGTGACAGGGCATTAGCCAACAGGCCCTTCACTCATCGATCAAACCACCATTTTCAATTAAGCTGCAAATTACCTCCACTCAGCCGAAAATGTAATTCGGTCCAGATCCACGATGTGCGGGGTAAGATGTGGCCCGCTGCGGGTTCCGAGAAGTTTGAGGGAGTCACAGCGCGTATACCATCCCTGTCACGCTATAACCTTAAATGCTTGCCGCTCGCTCACTGTGCCTGGGTCAACCACAACCTCACCACCTTAACCTCATTTACCCACTTTCAGCACACCATGCACATTGTCTGGCGGGATTCGGCTGAACCAGCCGTCTACGAAGAGGCTCGTGTAGGTCGCGTTTTTAATCACCGTCGTCCTCAACGCTTTCCCTTAGCAGTTGTCCAAGCTACTAGCACGAAAGATATTATCGCTGCAGTGAAGCTAGCCGCCGAAAAGAACTGTCGCGTTGCTATACGATCGGGAGGACATTCATGGGCAGCATGGAGTGTCCGCGATGAATCCATCCTCATTGATCTGGGGAACTACAAGCACTTGGAAGTGGATGCAGAGAACCGCATTGCGATAGCCACTCCCAGTATGACAGGAAAGGAGCTCAATGGAGTTCTGATCAAGGATTATGGTTTGATGTTCCCAGGCGGACACTGTCCCGACGTGGGCCTGGGTGGCTTTCTGCTACAAGGCGGAATGGGATGGAATTGTCGTGTCAGTTAATGCGCTCCCACCATTGCAGTTCGACTGGCTGATAAGTGTTCGACAGAATTGGGGCTGGGCCTGTGAAAGAGTTCAGGCAGTGGATGTAGTGACAGCCACAGGCGAGCTGCTTCACTGCAACGCCACCCAAAACCGCGATCTCTACTGGGCAGCCAGGGGAGCCGGTCCTGGCTTCCCAGGTGTGGTGACGCAGTATCATCTGGAACTAATTCCATATCCTAAGGATGGTTTCCGCTCGTCTGGCTATGTCTATCCCATTCGACAGTACCGACAAGTCTTTGACTGGCTGCTCTCCATCACCCCTAGTTTTGACGAGGACACTGAAATCGCCGCTGTGGCCGCGTACCCAGAGGGGATTGACGAGCACTGCTTCTTTGTCCTATTTGTCGCCATGAAGTCAACCCCTGAAGAGGCCGAGAAGGCTTTACGCCCAGCGCAGATCACCCGGCCAACGGGAGCGATCCAGGAGTGGTTCTGTCAGGTGGATAGCCTGGAAAATCAATATACTAACCAAGCCAACGCTAACCCGGAGCGACACCGGTACTGCGCCGAAAACGCCTACATTCGAAATGATGCGGATGTCCCCGCCGTGCTCGAGGAGGCGTTTACGACACTGCCCCACAAGAAAGCGTTTGCCCTCTGGTACGCCATGTATCCTTGCAGCCGTCGGAAACTCCCCGATATGGCATTGAGCATGCAGTCGGACCATTACTTTGCACTCTACACTGTGTGGGAGGAGGCGAAGGACGATGCGAGATGTCAAGCGTGGGTGGCTGATGTGATGAAGAGAGTCCAGCGACATGGAGTCGGGTCTTATCTGGGGGATGCGGACTTTCAGGTGCGACAGACAAGGTACTGGGCTGATGATAATGCACGACGGTTGATGGACATCCGTCGCAAATGGGATCCTCAGGGGCGCATCTGTGGGTATTTGGACAAGGATGATCGGTCTGGAACAAGAGGGCTGGACAATGCCAAGGAAACGAAGTTGTGATTGTTTTATTAGTATGTGTTACGTGGCTGTTTGCTTCCCGGATAAATATTTTCGAGGAGGCTTTATCGTTAGTCTGTAACAATTAGTCTCAAATTGGTGCTTGAGGAATCGGTCATGTTGTACATAACTTGGAGAGTGCTAGACGTAGATATACTATATTAGCAATAGACCACTCACTGTGGAATAAAGTAGCACAAAACAACTATGCTACAGCAGATCGGGCTGTGGAGACATGTAGCCCTGGCTTGGTGGATTATCCGATGCCACCTATATGACAGCTCACAGAAGACCCAGAAGAACCACTAGGAGTCCTGTTGGTATTATTTTTCGAAAGTGTGATACTTAAACAGCTAAGCAGCTAGAATATCCTTTTCTTCTTTCTACGGTGTCCAGTCTCCGATGTAATATTTTAGGCGCGGACCACTACAACGCAGCTGTTGAGAGCTTCCGCTATTCCTACCCTTAAACTATCATACACACAACACAAACTCGATGTCTCTGGGTTTTCCGGGACAAGCGGGTTACCTGAAGTCGGGTTGTGGAGAGCAAAGGCACGAGGAACTGCGGGCGGCGGGAGACAGTCGGATAGCGGGGGAGTGATTGAACTCCAAGCGCCGGGACGTTGAACCGAACCGATCATATATGGCAGTCGGGAGGAACACAACTGCTCAAGATTATATCCCACACACCATGTCTCCTACTAACAGGCTGGGTCAAATCAGCAATCACATCTCGCCCAAAATGGTAGAACAAACTCTCCTCCACAAGGTCGCTATCGTCAGCGGCTCGTCCTCAGGGATTGGCGCCGCCATTGTGCGGGAACTCTCTGCCCGCGGAGCGAGCACAGTTGTTAATTATCCTTTCCCGGGTCTCAAAGCTGAAGCAGACGCCCTGGTGGCGTCTTTGCCTTCTCCGTCAGTTGCTGTTGAAGCGGATATGGGTTCAGTGTCTGCTCCACAGGCGCTGGTCGATGCTGCGGTATCGAATTGGGGTCGGGTCGATATCGTGGTCAACTGTGTCGCACTAGCAGTAAACAAGCCGTTCGAAGAGCAGACACTTGATGACTGGGACCGACTGGTCAATATTAATGGACGCGGGACGTTCTTGTTGACTCAAGCCAGCTTGAAGCACCTCACCAAGAATTCTGGGAGAATTGTCAATATCGTGAGTATTTCGGCACGAGGACCTCCGCCAAATCAGACCATCTATGCCGGTACCAAGGGAATGGTTGATTCCTTCACGAAATGCTGGTATGTCTTACTCCTCTTGAGTACACTAGGCATTATTTCTGATTCATTCAGGGCCAAGGAGCTTCCGCCCAAGTATGGTTGCACCGTCAACGCGGTCAGTCCGGGGCCAACCAAGACGGAAGGTTTTGCAGCAGCAGGTGAAGAACAGATGAAGATTCTGCAGCCCATTATTGATCAGACACCAGTTGCGCCACGGATGGCTGAGCCGGATGAGATTGCGTTTGCCGTGGGGTTTCTGTGTGAAGAGAGGTCGAGATGGATCAATGGGGCACATATTATTGCATCTGGTGGACTGTTTATCGATTAGCTTACTCTATAAGCATTTACATATTCAAACAGTTAGCCTGGCTGATGCATCCTGTCATGGATGAGCAGACAAGTTCCTTAGCATTTTGTCTAGCACCGTCATCAACAGCTGGTGCGTAGTCCGATCCCAGGTTAAGCATGTCTGTGATGCCGTCTATCAGATAGTTGATGGCTATCAGAGAACAAGGCCATATACTGATCGCATTATCGTTGGCATACCGGCGCCTTTGGATTGGATCACTGCTAGTCACACATCCGCGTTGCGAACATCCCAGATGCTTCACACCGGCCAATGATAGAGCACAATCGTCTGCCACAACAGAATGCAGCAAACATGCAGGATAAACCATTTACAGAATTACAATTCCATATATCTCTAAATCATTGTGCGTTGTGCAGTCCAGGGCAATGAAGCACGTGAGGCGAGCACCGAAGCGGAAGTTCACATTCACGCGCCCTCGCTTAACCCTGAGTGTTGACCTTAGCGCGTCTAGTATATTCTCATGCCTTTGTTGACGCGCCTCTGTCATAGATCGTTTCTTCACATCTATTCTCTTCACCACACCCGTTCTCTTTATTCCGTCATCCTTCAAGACTCAGCGTTCAAGCGTCACCGTTCAAGCGTCAGCGTTCAAGCGTCAAGTTACATCAGTCGTCGTTAATCGAGATGCCTACCAACTTCAACGTTGATAGAGCGATGGCGGTGATTCGCAACGAGCATAGAAAGCTCTTGACCCTCACCTTCAGCAGCCATTTTATCTACCCGGGTCAGTTCGTCTCCAAGCGTGGTAAGTCATCATTCCCGTATCTAGATTCCGTATCATACCCAAACTAACGGACCAGATGCTGCCCATCCACCACGCATGTCGTTCCCTCGCCTCAAGGGTAACGGAACCTACATGATTGTTTGTCTCGACCTGGATGCGCCTTTCCCTTCGTGCCGTGTGCTCGGCCCTAAGTGCCACTGGATCCAGTCTGGTCTGGAGCCGATTATGAGCGAAAATGGTCACTTCTTCCTCAGAGTGGCAGCACCTTTCATTGCCAACTACGTTGGACCAAATCCCCTTCCCGGAAGTTCTCCGCACCGATACCTGTTCATTCTCTACGAACAGCCTGCTGGATTCGAGATCACTCGATCCTCTCCCACTGGCGGCAAGAAGATGGGAGTCTGGTCGCGCCTCCGTTTTGACCTCGACGGCTGGGCTAGAGAGATTGGCCTTGGCCCTGTTGTCGGAGCCAACTATTTCGTCAGCAAGTAGCTGTTGGCTGGTTTCTGTGATTGCGTCGTTCGTTTCTCAACTTGTTTATTCGCAACACAAGACACGAATCTGGTGATGTCGTTGTGGTGGTGAAGTGAAATTTAGCGGTCCGCTTGTATATTTTAGCATATGGTTGAGGCGTTGTGGCGTTGCCTCGTTCACATTGTTTGAACTTGCTTTATTCGCACACAAGATGGGAGTTTTATTCTGGTGAAGCGGTGGATTCGGACCTGTATTCATGTATATCTTATGATGTGACACGAAGTTGACCATGTGTCAAACAGACCTTTAAATAACAGCAAGTAAAGTAATGTCTAAATGACATGTCTTTAATCACTAACAGCTCATTTTCAAATAAACATGTAGATACACCCTCACCCTCAAGTGACTTACGCAATAGCGCAGACAATCACACTCAGTACAACTAACAGCAGATCACTTCGTAATCTCATCCACCCACTCCTTCGAACTCACAACGCGTCCCTGGCGCGTAAATATCTTCTCCATCAAAACCCGATGCACCTCCGGATCCAGATCCATACACCCATCCTCCAAGACAGTCACACTGTAATCGAGATCCGCAGCCGCACGAACGGTCGACAGCACAGCTCCACTGGTAATGAGCCCTGCCATTACCACCTCTGTAATACCCATCGACCGGAGGATAAGATCCAACTCAGTTGAAGTAAAAGCCGAGACACGATACTTGGTCACGATAGGCTCTTCGTCGCGGGGTGCCACGGCAGGGTGAACCTGGGTAGACTCATCGTTGTTACGGAAAGCCCCCATTTCCTTGGCTCTGGCCACACTGAGGTTTCGAGGGTTACATTCTGGATGACCAGCACGGAAGGCTGTTACCACATGAATGATGTTGAGTTGGGCGTTGCGGGCCGCCTGTGTCACTGTTGATAGAGTTTGCAGGTACTGGGAGGTGTTTTCGAGACGGTTGACGATGCCATTTTGTACGTCGAGGAGAAGGAGAGCGGCTTTCTCGGTTGCCATGGTCGTTGACTTGCTTAATATATTTGCAATAGAAGAGTGATTTTATGACTGTTCGACTTTGATGATGACCAGTTGCTGGGTATACTGGGTCATTTTATGCTTGCTGCTGGAAACCCGGTAACGGGATGTATGGATGAGGATCTGTTTTTTGATTGGTGGAGAAGCCCGGTTCCGGGATAGGAAGCCGGTACCGGGATAGCCTCGAGCTGTCACAATAATGGACTGTGAGCATCATTTCTTTTTACTCCTTCAACCCTGCTTTTTCTTGAGGAATGAAAGGAATTCTCATTTGTTCATATCTGAAAAGAGCTTCCACAAAGAAATCAAGTGTCCAATATGAACGACAACCCATCCTCTTCATCGCCTACAGAGGCTAACGCCCCCGATATAGAAAAAGAGCCAGGCCAGAATGCACCACCAAGGCTGGATGTATTTTCAGTCTTCACAGTCAACCAAAAGCGAGCCATGGTGGCGACCGGCTCTATGGCCAGCTTCTTCTCACCACTCTCCTCAAGCATTTACTTCCCTGCCATGGACACGATAGCAGCAGCGCTGAACGTCTCCACATCCAAGATTGACTTGACTGTCACGACCTACCTGGTGAGTCTAAAGTCTCCCCAAAAGCATTATAATTACTAACAGCATATCTTATGCTGCAGATAATGCAAGGCGTTGCTCCCATGTTAATTGCCGGATTCTCAGACACAGCCGGCAGACGTCCCGCCTACATAATCTGCTTCACCGTCTACATCGCCGCCAACCTCGGCCTCAGCCTACAGAACGACTACAGCTCACTACTAGGTCTACGATGCCTTCAAAGTGCAGGAAGCAGCGGCACTGTGGCTCTGGCCAACGGCCTGGTCGGAGACCTAGTCACATCCGCAGAACGAGGAACATACATTGCATTCGCATCGTTAGGGAGCATGCTCGGGCCTTCTCTATCCCCAATCATCGGTGGACTCCTCAGTCAGTACCTCAACTGGCACTGGATATTCTGGTTCCTTCTCATCTACTCCGCCGCCTTCTTCCTCCCCCTCTTACTCTTCCTCCCCGAGACCTGCCGCAAAGTGGTCGCTGACGGCTCCGTTCCACCCCCAACGCTAAACAAAAACCTCAGCGACACAATCCGGCACCGCAACCGAAAAGCCAAAGGTCTCGTCGTGGAGGAAAGCAAACTCACCGAAGTACGCAAGAACTACTCCTTCCGGTGCCCATCACCCATGTCCACACTAAAGGTCACTGCCGACCTCGAAACGGGCGTTATCCTACTTGCCACGGGGCTAACCTTCGCATGCTTCTACGCTGTAATGACTGGAGCTACGACCTCATTCCATGATACCTACCATCTCAATGACATCGAAACAGGACTGATGTACCTCCCTATTGGGGCCGGCGGCATTGTCTCAGCATTCACCACAGGCCGTCTAATGGACTGGAATTATCGTCGACATGCTGCCAAGGCTGGACTGCCCGTTATCCGGAATGTACGACAAGACCTTACGAACTTTAATATTGAAAAAGCAAGGCTGCAAGTCGGACTGCCGATGTATTACACATGCATAGTGTCCATGATCGCCTACGGCTGGGTCCTCGGCCACAAAGTCAATCTAGCTGCGCCGATCATCCTGCTCTTCATCTCGGGGTGGAGTCTGAATGGCACGTCGCAGGTCTTGAATGCCATTCTTGTTGATCTGTGGCCTAGTCGATCTGCGGCTGCAACGGCAGCGTGTAATTTATTTCGCTGTGAGTTGGGAGCTGCAGCTTCGGCGGCCATCACACCAATGAGTGAGGCAATGGGACAGGGATGGGCGTATACCACACTGGGATTGATCTCCGTAATTGTGTCGCCGAGTTTGTGGGTGGTTATGCAGAAGGGGATCAAATGGAGGCAGAGAAGATTGAGGAGGGAGCGGGAACGGGCAGCTAGAAGTCAGTAGGGGGGGTTGATGTGAAATGGATGAAGGGTGAGATGTGTCTGACTGGGGTATAGCTTGTTTAGAGTTTGTTAGATAGTGGATAAAAGTATACGTTTATTGTTTCACCATGGGAACGTCCGGGATATGCTGTTTTACGTTTTAACTTACAATTAACTCTACGTATGCATCTGACTGCTAATATGGAACTACTTCAGAATAGGCTTGATGGGCCTGCTACGACTACACGGTATGTTATATAGTTGAGGGATCAGCTTGAGTGTTAGGAGAAACCAGGTTCCTCCGCTCAAAAACTCGTATCATTGCGTCATAAAAAAAAAAAAAAGAAAAGAAAAGAAAAGAAAAGAAAAAAAAAAAAAAAAGAAAAAAAGAAAACCACCCAAAGGTTAAGGACAGGAAAGAGTAAACAGTGTAGGCAAAAGAGAACTAACAGTAAGAAAGAACAAGACACTTCAAAAGTTAAGACAATGAAAGACTAAGCAAACAGAGAATATGAAGCAGGAGGGATTTATACATGAGGCCTTTGGGTGGTACAGGAAAGGTAATGAAAGACAGCAGACAGGAGAAAGGCATGATAGTGGGACAGGGCGAAGAGATATTGGAAATGTGAGCGGGGGCATAGGGAGATAACAGACGAAAGGGAGGTGGAAAATCAATAAATGGTATGTGAAGATGGTAGTACAGAATGCAAAGGGGAAACTTGAAAGAAGGTATGAAGAGTGAGGTAATGATAGGGAAAGCTGTATGAGGGATGGAAAAAGGCATAGAAGGTCACCGAAAGAATTTTGGCGTGATGGGGGAACTGGCGACGGGGATTTAGAAATAAAAAATTCAAGGGGAAAAGTCTTCCTCCGGCAGCTGGCAGAATCGCAAACAAACCATAAATCGGCCCCATTGATAATTCTTTTTGGCAAATCCCGATTTCCCTCGCCACAAGCTTCCTCTGACGCCAGATATATGAGTTTTGTGGTCAGACTTGGAGTAGACAAATGTGGCTAGACAGAAAATAAGATTGTAAAAATGAGTTATTAGTGGAATGACATGCTCAGCATAGGGTTAGACTATATCTGACCGGCCGACAAAACCAAAGAAACACCAACGAAGTCACCTCCTCAATGATCCCAGCCCGCATTTCCCACAACTCTCAGTCACAAGCTTCCTCTGACACAAGTTATATCCATTTAGTGGTCAGAATTGGAGTAGACAAATGTGGCTACGGAGGAGAATGAAATGTCAAGGCTGAGTCATTCTTAAGATGACATGCTACGGTCAGTTTTTGACCGTCTCTCAGGGCTCGTGTGGTGTAAGGTATGGCGTTTGACTTCGCCCTGGAAGCCTAGGCTAGACTATTCAGATGGTCCACTAGAGTCTAGGTTAGATGTAGACAGTGAGCCTCGGTCGTTTCAAACGGGTGATTCTATTCAGGTCTTATGTAGACAAAGCTTATAGACACGACAATAAACCCCCATTGAACAGAGAAACCCATCGTCTAGTCACAACAGCAATAGGAGACGATATATTTCACAGGACCGACAGTAAAGAAACATGGATATAGATGATAAGAAGAACGGGACGATCCCGCCACACAGCCAGGCGTTCGTTCACGTTCTTCACTAATGTCACGCCCACTGTCTACCCTGGAAGGTAAGACTTGTTCCCCGTAAGGTAAAAGCTTGCATTTTCACTGCAGACAGAAATCCCCACCGCCTCCCATCTTTATCAGTCACCCCCTGAGCTATAAGAATTATAACCCCATCAAGAATGACCCCAAAAATGACGGCGGCAGACTCTCCGTCCGCTTGAAAACCTAGCCTTACCCTTAAGGGCTTAGTCAACCTTCTAGGGTAGGCAGATGGTAGGAAAGCATGGGCGAAGGTTGATGTGGAGGGATCCTGGCTGGTGTAGCCGTAGCGCCTCCTTAAAACAAAAGAAAACAAGGTAAGAGAAATTTAGCAGTGCATACTGCTAAGAGCTGCAAAACAGTGCCAGAGCGTATTTCATGATGCTCACTACACTATTCAGATGCACCTTTAGAAACCTCCATCGTCAGAGTCATACCACTCAAAATCATGGATTTATTGACTAGCTGTTGAGGGGTTAGAAGTGCACAACTTTCTGTGTAGCGGCACCATGGTCAGCCAAGCACTGTTGAGCAGTGTGATGAAAGAATGCGGACGAGAAGGGCACAGCAGGTCCTATTTATGCTTGGGACAGGTGGCAAATCCATGACTACCAGGTGCCTCGAGCAATGGTGTTAACGGGGAGTTCCTAAACTTTTGATGAAATCTCCGTTTGGCTATAGACAAACTTTATGAACCGCAACTGCACCAGCGTCAATCATTCCCATATGGTAAGCGTGGATCTCACATTTCGTGAAAACGGGATTTTCCACCTTATCATTGGGTAATCGGAGATATTGGTGTTGCACCAACATGAGTCAACCGGTCTGATATTCTCAACATCAGTGAGACCATAAGATGAAATAGGGACTCCCCGCTTAAAACGTCACATATTATGTGACTAGCCAGACTGGCCTGATAGAAGTTGGAAGATGGACGGCTAAGACAGAGCACCCTAAGTGGAAGTCACATCATCTCAAACCATTCCACTTCTGAAGACACACAAGACATTGTTGCTACCTTTCGACGAATCCGAGAAACACTGGGACTTTCGGGGCCTTGAATCAAATTCACACTTAAAATTTTTCCACTACAAGTCTTATTACGCGTCACAATATATTCAGTCGGAATGTTCCGTCAGACTCGCATAGTATCATTACGTGAGATTCCACTGTCAAGACAACTAACAGGCAGCCAACATAATGGTCCATAAGGCGGTATATTCCTGTGCCACACGATCTTTAACCATCCAACGAAGGCCACCATGTATACATGACCATTTCCTTCTCAAGCCAGTCTTTAGGTCTGCCCTGATGAAGGTGGAAATCTGATGGGATGAATGTGGAAGGTCTACTGGTCACTCGTCTTAATTACTAAACAAGATGATGGAGGATGATGGGACGGATCTGTGAAGATGAACAAGCTAGATTTACACTCTGTCCCGTCTGTTCTATCCTATGCGTGTGAATTCTGTGCCTGATATTTACTCTCTTGACTTCATCTGGCAGCCTACATTTCTACACTCAGATATGGATAATCAGGCTACTGCAGATATCTCTCTATTGTACTCATAGTTACAGACTGACGTCTTTTGATGTACCTATGAAGGTACGACATAATGTATTTCCCGTTTTGATAGACTTAATTCAATGCTACTGCCCCAAACCTAGTCAATCCCCGAATCTCCGACACCTCCGATGCATCAGATTGATTTTCCTGGTCGAGGGGGTTCGGAGGAAATATGTCCCCATAATCTCCAGGGGTCTGTCTGGCCCAACGCCCGAAATATTTACTCAGATCATCCACTCGCCTTTTGATATCCTCAATCACCACACTGCATAGATGCCAGCGCCACTTGACGTAGCTGTTCAAGATCATCTGCTCAGCATGTTCGGGACTAAACTCGAATGCACTTTCGACTATCACATAGTTAATAAGACGAATAAGGATCCCATCGGTAGATGAGAGATATGAGGTTTCAACTCACCAATGTACACCAACTGTTCAAGTTGCCCGCACAGGTCAACCAACAGTTGATAAATGGTAGTCTGGTGGCGCCAGACTCTCGGCTCAGCCATGACTTGGTAGAAGTCAATCTGCTTGAGGAATTGCATGGATTCATCATAATCGGTAAGTCCGCTTTGGATGTCATATATCCTGTCCAGTGAGTCGATCATGACAAGCTTCCCAAGGCATTGTGAGGCGTAAATATCGTTTTGGTCAATCTGGATGAACATGTGGTTCTGCTCTTCCTGGGCCTTCTGGTGGAAAATTGCAAGTTCAGGCTCCCATTTGTAATAGGTATCCCACTCGTCGTGGTTGTAGCCGTTGGTAGCTTCCATGATGGCTTTTGCAGGATGTGAGATGTGCTTGGTCACGTACGGTCTAATAAGGAATGAGGAGATGACAAGATAGGATCGGTTAATGGGCGATGGAAGATATATGAGGTAGTATTTATACCTCGTGTGATGGACGCGCGGAAAGATGAATTGAGTGTTTGTTTGAAGTGGAGTATCGGAAGATGTCGATTCATTCTTAGTATCATATTCGGTTCGTTTTGGGTGATAATTCCCTCTATGGCCTATAAGCAGAAAGAAATCATTGCAAAAACAGCAATATTAGGAAAAAGCTTCCAGACAACTCTCATTTTTCTTTCTCTGTCCCGCTTGTTTCCAGTACTCCCCTGCCCTCTGCTCTACTTTGATCCAAGAATTTATTCAGAAGAATCACCCATCTTTAACTTTTAGTTTCTCATCAAATTTCTTATCCCATTTCTATGCTTCGGGGTCTATTTCGAGTTATAGAGGGAACAGTAAGACATGGGCGGGACTTACAATAGCCGTTCTTCAGGATCGATTAGAACCAAGGCAAATCTACGTTGATCGAGGGTATCTTCCGCGCATCTGCAGTTGATTTGATTTCCATGTATCTTGCTTCATAGTAAGCGCCAAAATGGTCAGCTAATGAATGATAATGCAGTAGTGGCATAACTCAACTGTCCAAACGCGACCAATGGCAGTGCACAGATTACGTGCACATGAACCGGAAATTGTTTCCGGCTCCTTGCGGAGGCCATGCAGGGGTTAAGAAGAACACGCAAATCTCTCCAATTTGAATAAACAGCCTATGATTATTCCCGACGAGCCGAGTTAGTCCGAGCAAACCAATTAGAGTCTGGGAACTGTGTAGATCAAAGTGTTTGAAAAAGAAAATATACCGCTCAATTCGGCTTTGCGGAAACAGGCGTAGCTGAAATGATCATTCAAATACTACTTACTACAGTGACTGGCGGGGTGGTATCTTGCTTTGCGGGTCTGAATGTGGCACATGAGCAGGAGAACAATATGTCATTGGTGAGCAGCGATAAGCGAAAGTTTGGACTTGTGCAATATTGGTTTCTGCAGACAAAGATGCAGAATTTTGGCGAGGTCGTGTAACAACCCCCAGGCATTATAAATGCTGGCTGGGGTATCCTGTTTCTTGCTCTTCGAATCTGTCTCATCATTATCTATAGTAGTTCTTTTCTCGTTGCCGTTACCATGTCTTTGCCCGTTGGAAACACAAATGGCAAGTTTCAGCAGGTCACGAAGAACCTGAAGGAAATCACTGCCCATCCCATTGATCCCACACAGGTTCGGATTGAGAATCTTATCGGTTGTGTGAAGGTGCCCGTGGGTTTGGCTGGACCTCTGTGGGTGTGGGAGACCGGCACTACCGGCGAAGAGGTTCAAGAGGTATATGCACCGCTGGCTACCACCGAAGCAGCTTTAGTTGCAAGTTCAGTTGTTGTCGGGGTTGTAAGGCTTTCAACCGTAGTGGGGGGATTCACATTGTCGCTCTCCGTGATGCCATGTCCAAGTAAGAATCCCACCTTCAACCATCCCCGGTCCTGGCGAGCAGAAGATCGGGGCGATCTCCGACTAACGGAGGATTAGAGTTCCCGCTTTCATATTTGACTCGCCAGCCAACGCTCTGGCCTTCGCTCAAAAGGTGCCGACCCTTCAGGGCGAGTTAAAGCGGCTTGCCGAATCTACTAGTCGCCGAATCCAGCTTCTGTCCGTAACTCCGACCGTAGTTGGCTCTGCAACGCATGTGCATTTCAATTACAACTGTGGCGACGCTACCGGTCAGAATATGGCCACCATCGCAACTCATCGAGCCTGCCACGAGCTGCTTCTGGACACCCCTCTCTGTGAGGATCTGAAGATTCGGGGCTTTCAGTTCGAAGCAGGAATGTCCGGGGAAAAGAAAGCCGGCTGGTCACATGTGCAGGAACCACGCGGCGTCGAGGCCATGGCATGGGGGATGATCAGCAACGAGGTGGCCGAGGAGGTGCTAGGATGCTCGACCGAGTCCATCTACCAGGCTCTGAACCGTGCTCAGGCTGGGGCCGTGCGAGCAGGCGAATTCGGTTATGCAGCCAATGCAATGAACATCGCGACTGCTATCTTCATCGCTACGGGGCAGGACGTTACCAGCATCGCCGAATCATGCTGGAGCCAGCTCACCCCAGAATACAACTATGAGACCAGAGTTCTGACGGTGTCACTATATATTCCGTCCCTTCCGGTGGGAGTAGTTGGTGGAGGCACACACCTGGGTCCTCAGCGTGAGGCGCTTGAAATTATGAAGTGCAGTGGACCCGGGAAGAAGCGTCGCCTTGCTGCACTGATCACTGCATTTGCGTTGGCATTGGACCCTAGCACCACAGGGGCTGTAGCTAACGATACATTGTCTGAAGCTCCTGCAAGGCTTCGCAGGAAGCCTGCTGATGCCTCTGCAAAGATTTAGATGCAAATCTGTGTGATGGATGGAGCATTGTGTCCAAATGGTATAATTATATGTTGACAAACTGTTCTATGATATATCCTGTCTTGTATTCCCAACATTGTCCCGTCTCGGTTTGTCACTCCTCGCAGCAGGATTTGTTCTTTGCCTCTTTAGCATAAGTAAGGCCACATTTTGGGCAGCGCCATAGAAATTAGGAATTCTTAAAATATGATGACCGTGATTTGCCATCAGTAGCTCGTCAAGATTTGCTCAAGATGTCCAGCCCAGTCTTAGCACCGTTCTCGTCTTTGACGACCACTGGCAGCACCGTCACCGCCTCAACTCCGTCTACTCGGTCGGGATCGAATTCGTCCCAGTATTCCTTTGGCTCTTTCCACCCGCCCGTCTTCTCGGTTTCCGCAGGAGGCCACACGACACATCCGAGGTAATACACGCCGAATGCAATAAGCAGGCCGACAGGGTACGCGACAAAGTAAAACCGTTGTATACCCAAGGGTGCCTTGACGCCCATCTGGTTAAGGAAACCGTAGAAGTTTGGCGCAACTGCCACAAGATAAGCACCAAAGCCGCGGAGATTAAATCCGTGGAAGAAATAGTAAACGCCATCGGTACGTCCTGTGTATAATGCCGGAATATCAAGCCATCCCCGTCGGATCAGGTAGTAGTCGCATATCAGAACACCGGCGATAGCAGAGAGAAATATTTGATACGAGGAGAGGAAGGTAATGAATACGGCTGCTGTGGCGAGGAGGTACCATGGGCAGATAGCGAAGGACAGGACTTTATGTTTATCAGTGACAGCAAGACTAGACTTTTGGGGAAATACTGACTGGCACAGATAAAGAACCCTCGTTTGACTGTAATGTAACGAGGAAGTAAAGCTGCAATGTCATTTCCAGCGCTGCATAGTACGAGCGATTAGTCAAAATCTGATATCGGAGCTATAGGATACTCACGGAATAGAGTTCTCGAAAATGGCGGAGAACACAGTCGAGTACACGAAAGCCAATGAAATGAAAGCACAGGCAGCGCGGTTGCCCGGCGTGTATCTTTCTCCATCCATCAGCTTGTCCAAGAAGGTCAGGGGATTCCATATCAGCTGACTTCGTTAGTACGTTGTCTATATGCGGACGCGTTAAAAAGAAATGAGACGTACCTCTCCAAATATACTTCTGCTACATCCAGCAATGATGTTGCCGATGACAGCCACTAGTAATCCCGAGAGCGGAAAGCTGATGACCTGTGCTAGGATCACGTCGCTAGGCTTCCTTGCGTACCGCTGGAGGTCCGCGGCATTGGAAATGAAGGTCCCGCAGCTGGCCAGCCCCAAAAACAGGAACTTGCAAATAAGCCAGCTCTTGGCTCTCCCATGAACTGTCGAGGGCTCGTGAATGGCAGGAGGGTTACCCCCAGCCAGGCATACTACCCAAGCTAACATGGCAAAAGCGCCGCCATAGTAGACTACTACTTTGATGTAGATAAGCTTCTTCATCTTAGGCACAGGAACCACGAGGAATGCGCAGTTGATAAGCCTGTCGCCTATTAGTGTCTCGCAGCTATTGGGTGGACTCGTACTTACCAGTAAACGAGAAAGCATATCATCTGCGCAGACGACAAGGCAGACTTTGGTCCCATCTTATCAGGAATACGAGCGATTGATGGGAAGATTGCATGCAAGAAAACACTGGATCGGTCTCAGTCATGTGCGTCGGAAAGGACCGCGATACTTACTATAAACACTGAGCTCCTTGTGTGACATTGACGCCGTTCCAGACTATACTCATTACTGCCCGGTTGAATGTTGGCCAGAGGGCACCCCAAGGACCAAAGCTAGAACGACATAGGACTGGAAAGGGGATTCGATACATCGCGCCAGCCCGCCCATTGAGAGCCATTAGGCAACCTGCGAGGAACTGGCCGGTAAAGGAGCAGGCGATGGCCTCCCACATGGTCAATCCCATGGATACGCCAGTGCTTGATGCGTACAAGTTGCTCACATTGGCCGTAGCCGAGAACCAGAAGAAGAGGTATGTGAGGCGTGTCCATTTTCGGTCTTTAGTTGGAGTTGGTCGGATCGAGTCATTATCCAGGACTCCCACAGGTCTTATGTTACCATTTTGGTCCACACTCTTGACAAGCAACCGCTCGTGGATCCCTTCCCATATGGAACTCATGTTGTGAGTTCTAAGATCTGCGGTTTGACGAAGATTGATGCTGGCCCTCGGCCGCATTTATTCAACCGAGCACACAGGCCGATAAGGAATGCCATGGTTCTGTAGCGGTCAGACACACCTTATCTCTTGGCTGCGACCTAAAGCGGCTTGGAATGACTCCTTTATCATCTGGGCAGACCTGGTTCCTCCTTGTGCCAGTGTCATTTAAGCTCGGGCCAATAAGGCGTTAGGTTTGTATCGCCATGCTTATCAACCATTCGGCCTCGACCGTATTCCCCACCAAAGAGATTGCGGGGATTGCCGTGGCAGCACACCATCGGACATATATCATCGCTATTAAGAAGCACCACGGAGGCCAAATGAACAAATAGCCTTACAAGGCCAGACCGAAGCAAAATAAAGCGACCGTGGGGATGACCTGTACGATGACTGCTATGGCTACCCCCGAATATACCCATGTCGAGCTATTGACGCTGAATGGACCGGAATACCGCAGGGTGTCAACTGCCCCTCCTCGCCTCCCGAGCGACGATGAGATTCCTGTGATCGATCTGGTCGGTATTGATGGCGACCTTGACGCACGCACTGTACTCGCCGGGAAGATTCGCGCTGCTGCTCAGAATATAGGATTCTTCTACGTCACGAATCATGGGATTTCCGAGGATATGATCGCGGGCGCTCTCACGCAAGCCAAAGCCTTTTTCCATCAGCCGCAGGAGGAAAAGGAAAAAGTATCAAACTTCAAGTTAATGCATATGGATGGATACCATGCGGTAGGAACTACCCAGGTCAACAAATCTGAGACAAAGGGTCAGCCTCACAACCAATAGTGAGCGATGGGTCATTAACACAGTAACAGACCGGAAAGAGACCTTTTCCCTTCGCTACAACGGCCGCAATGACCCAACCGCAGGACCAGACACCCCAGATGATCGGATCTGGGATGACTTCCCCCTCTGGGCTGGGACCGCCCATCTCCCAAGTTTTCGCGAAGCCACCATTTCATTCTGGCAAGCACGATTAGCCTTGGCGAGAAAACTGGTCCGTATCTTTGCGCTTGCCTTGGATCTCTCCGAGGACTATTTCGATAGCGTCATCACGCACCCCGGCGCCGATGGCCTATACATTCACTACCCTGGTACACCCGAGGCCGAACTCAAAGAAGATAGAATCGACGTCGGCATCGGCTCACATACCGACATCCAATGCTTCACACTACTCTGGCAGGACATGTCGGGGGGTCTGCAAGTTTTGTCGTCATCTGACGAATGGTTGAACGCTCGACCCATCCCGGGCACACTTGTCGTCAATATTGGGGATTTCCTGCAGCGCTTATCTAACAACCGGTTTAGATCCACGGTGCACAGAGTATATAACCGGCAAAGCACATCACGGTATTCGATGCCGTTCTTCTTCGGGTTCAATCCCGAGACGGTGTGTCAGGTGGTGCCGTCTTGTATTGATGAACAACATCCGGCCCTTTTCGAGCCTATCTCCTGTGGGAAGGTGAGTAGATTTGCTCCGACGATTATGCAGAATGATTTGGCTAACGGGAGTAGTGGCACCGCGATCGACTGGCTCTTGCTCAAGGAAAGCTGGCTACTGCATAGAATCGAGTGGTAGCACATGTCTGTTATTATAAACAAGAAACATCACTTATCTATCCCCTTCAGGGGTCTGAATCGCTGTAGTTATTGCCGTTCTATTGCGTGTTTCACTTTGCCTATACCTTCCCTGTGGCAGCTGCGCCCATTGGTGCAGGGAGAAATGACCTTCAACAGATATTTCATGAGAGACAAGTTTATATCCACCTTTGTAAGCGTTAAAAGTAACAATAACAGCAATAACTATACCTTTTGTAGCACTTGATTGTTCGAGGAGAGACGTGGGAGGAGGGTGGAGAAGTGAAAAGATGCGTAGCCTTGGGGGGACTATGCCTGTATTTGGTGACCTAGCTCCGACATGTGACATGGGTCCATTCAGCACAAAATCTTCCTTTCATGGGAGTGTCATTGATAATGCTTCCTGGATTATCGTCTACAGCCTAGGCACCCTTGGCAGGTATCAGACACATACGGATCCCTTTGCTTGATAGCCATCAAAGAGTTCGGACAGACAACACACCAACAGTATCGCCATATTGGATCTAGCTGCAATCATGGACGTTTACAAATGAATTTGACTGCTCATTGAAAAGACATGACACGCGTTCATTCGATGCAAAATACTCTACCGCATGATTCAAAGACCGTCACCACCAACTCCTCACCGTCGAAAACGCTCACTTACTGCCCTCGAAAATGATCTTCTGCGATCGCATATGGTTGAAATCGTTGTATCTACGCATTGTTAGCCTCGTCCTATATATAAGAAAATCACACTTACGCTTGGACAGCCTCCGATAGTGGTCGCACGTCGGTTACCATGAAACTAGACTCGTTGTCAGTACAAACAATATATAAATACCGCATCCGACCATCAAACTTACTCAAGAGTATCCTGCTTCTGAACCAACAACTTCAACGCATCTTCAAAGGTGCCTATAATACAGTTGTCAGCATCATAATAATCTACCAATAAAACGATCAACCTACTCCGAACCGGGCATCGTCCCATCTGAATCTGAAGATTCTTCCCGTAGGCCTGGTTGCCCGTCCACGGAATCTCGCCATTATGCACTCCCACACTCGAGATCCGTCCCCAGGGCCGTAACATCTCAAACGCCATAGCCAGCGCACTACTATGTCCCACCACCTCAATCGCCACATCAGCTCCTCTGCCCTCCGTCAACTCCTTCACTCTCCCTCTCAGCCCATCTGCTTGCGTTTGGAAATTCCACGGCTCGGCCCCTAACCGTCCCGCCAACTCCAACCGATCGGGAACACTATCGACGGCAATAAGATGCCTCGGCCGATATTCCAGTGCACTGATCAACGCACAGATCCCCACCGGTCCACACCCGAACAGAATCACCGTACTCTCCTGCACCGTAGCTTCATCCATCCCTTTGAATGCATTATTAGCGGCAAAATAACCCGTGGGGAAGATATCCGCCATAAGCACAAGCTTCTTCTCATCGATTTCCTTCGGCGCAGCGACCAGCGTCGAGTCCGCCAACGGGACACGGACATAATCTGCCTGTCCGCCATCCAAGACCGCAGAGCCGTAAAGTTGGCTTTTGGCGCAGCGAGAGGAACAACCCCGCATGCAGTAGAAGCATTCCCCGCAGCTCACAGTAAATGGCGAGACGACTAGGTCACCGGTATGGAAATTGTGGACTTCTGAGCCGGTTTCGATGATTTCTCCGGTGAACTCGTGGCCCATGATGAAGCCAGTTGTGGAGGGCTGGTGGCCGCGGAAGACATGTAGTTCACTGTAGAATATAGGTCCTTAGTAGAGATCGTCTTCAGTTTGGATGCTTGGGACACTCACCTCCCACATAGTGCAGTGTAGCGTACTTTGACGACCACGTCGGTGGGATCCTGGATCTGAGGAATGGGACGCTCCTCGAGAGCAACCTCGAGAGGACCTTTGAAGACAACGGCCTGCATGTTTGTTAACACGGTTGTGGTTATGGGTAATGGAGTGAGAACTGTAAGATGTGCAATGTTGAAGGTCGAAGTGGTGTTGTTGTGACGGTGGTGCCACTCCCCGCTTTTGGTATCCCCGAGCCTCGGTTGACAGGGATAAGGCGGGATGACGAGAACATCTTGTAGATCATAGAACTACTTACTATCGAGCGTGTCTGAGTACTTCAGAGACATTTGACTGAGGTCCCTAGAGATAGTATTACGGATATTGCTTCTTTGCTCATGGGAGCGCTTAAGGATCTGTCTGGGGAAGGTCGACTATGCACATGCTATTACCCGAGGAAGAATATACTTTCATTGGCTAAGTTACCGGGAGTAGTTCTTATAATCACAAGAGCACACGATACTTTCTACCGTTAACTTACTGAGATCTGGAACCCTGTTGAACACCAATCCGTTGTAAGTGTCCTCCCTGTATAAGGATATACTGTCACCGCAACACCTGCAGGTGTCACTAATAGTCATACCTCGACACAGGGTGGCGGGATCCGGAGGAGGCGAGGGTGGGGGTTTACAGATCATCGTCGGCTACGTGCACTAGGGGGCCCCGCAAATAGTCTGAAGGCGATTTGCGTAATGCTCATTCCTTAGCTTGAAGGTAGAATCTACTATAAGGGGCAGTTCGTCGGAGATACCGGGGTATCGGAAAAATCTACGCGAGGGCCAAACAGAGGGGTTTCTGCTCCTGCCTGGAAGCGCTAGGGGAAAGGACTCTACAACAATGTGCATTGATTTAGACAGTGATTATATGTGGATTCTTCAGTAAGTTTCGTAATGTTTTATCCAGATGAGACTCAAAATATATACACACCAGCCGCAAAGGTATAGATATAATCCGCCAAGCATGAAACGCCACCCGGCTGTGAAGACAATTCAAAAATAAAAGCATGGGGAATCAAAGGAAAGCCAATACCAACTATTCAGACGCTTTGAACCACTTTTGTTTAGGTTTTGCTGACCAGATCTTCGTCTCGAACGATTGCCCCAGCTGGTCCACGGTAAACGGCGAGGTGAACCCGGTTGCCGTGCCCGCATAACTAGGACCGAGCCGCTGGCTACTACCCGCCGTGGACGGCGGATCGTAGGAGCTTATTGAGTCACTTGCAGTTCGTACCCGCGATAAATCGAAACTGGCGCTGCGATCTCGTAGACTGGGAACAGACCCTTTCGAGGAAGTGGGTCTCGATTGACTCAGACCAGGGACTAAGCACCGGGGATGCAGCTGCCTCTCATTCGCCATGGATGATGTTTCACTGTTTGCGGTAGAATCCGGTATGGAACACGTGTCGACATTGGAACGAGACTCTGCGATGGACCCCGTCTCCGCGGTTGACCCACCACCAGTATTGGGCCTGGTCTCGGGTAATGACCGCGCATCCGGGTTGGGTTGAATGTCCGCGTAAGATTGGGGGTCGGGGATAGATCGGGAATCGGTACTCGATCGGGTATCTGCGGTGGACCTTGTGTCTGAAACACAGGAGTCGGTACTCGAACCAGTGTCGGTGTGTGGCGGCGCTCCTCCTGTGGTCGGTGCTTCACCTGGGCTTGGAGAATGATGGTCAAACTCCTGACCTTCGCGGATATAACACCTCGAGATGAGGTCGTTTTGGATGGTCATGATTTTGTTGAACGCTCTGATTAGAGCAAACTTGAACGGATATGACATCTCCGGATGTCCGGATATTGTTTCGTATGCGAGCTCCTTGACGTACCCCAGGCACGTGTTCATATGCATGTACTCGATCTTTAGTGGGTGCATCAAGATTTTACCTGTGTGCATCTTTCTGAATCCCGGATATGCAATCAGTACATCTTCCCGGCTTTGTTCACGAGGGTCTGAATGAAGAGATCAGCTCAGTGGACTTACCCAACCTTATCCAGGTACTCCCAATATTCGAGTCGGCTGGGGTCGGAAAACAATCGGGTCAAATACCACTTCCAGAAGATTTTCCTGCGCTGCACATGTGGACCGTCCAGAGTGAAGTATTCATCTACCTGGGCGTCTGATTCAGTGCTTCGAACCCGCAACGCGCGTGCGGTTATGTCGAAGTCGAGCATTTTAGCGTATAGACGGTGAGTCAGTACTGGTAAGGCCGCCTTTAGGAATTTGGCGCCTTTGTTAAAGACGATAATATCATCTGGAGTAGTAATCAGCCACCTGTCCCATCCATCACCAGACTAGATCATACCGTCTGTGAAGTCCAGGAACAAACGCAGAAAATCCATCCGTTTACTGAAATCGGTGTATAATTCCTTCCGCGTCACCTGCTTGATGCCATCCTGTACAGGAGACAGTGAACCCATGGTGGATCAGACTAGCAGTGGATAATCTATGGAATGTGTAGACTGCAATGGGTATGGAATGGTACACGGAACGTCAGCAAGGGTAGAACTGGCTTGCACGCTCTTGGTTTGATGGTGATAAAGATGCAAAGTGTGTTGCTGACCAGCCCTCCCCCAGAGTCCTTATATTTAGCCGGCCCAATGACCCCTGGCAGGATTTTGGGCCAGCATGCGCCTCCGATTGCGCCAAACCGATGGAGAAGCCGACTGCGGCTGACGTGCCATGCGATTGGCACAGCTGCTTGTCATTCCGAAACTGTGCCGTCATCCAACGCTTGAGGCCTGTTGACAGGGTGGTCCACTACTTTACCCGCATGCGTGGAACTCCGCGGCAGAGTTTTGCAAGGTGTGATCCGACTAGGCAAGGATGCTGAAGGCTGACTGCCAGCGTCCATTGTGGAAGCGATTGATTGGGGGGGAAGGGGGGGACCAATGGTGGGCTGTGTATGGAGACAATAAGTTCACGTATATTAAGTCAACGAATTGCGTCCCCACCAGGGTGATTCCGCGACGGTGGCCCAGACTCCAGTGTTCAGCTGCGCCGTCGCGATCCCTGGACGTCCAAGGGCATCAGAGGGCCCGTTTGGCCGGAGTGGACCCGCTAACGATCCCATCGCGTAGGATCCAATACGTCGGAGAGGTCGGAAGTCCCGTCCCAGTCATGATTCGCCGCTCGCAGCCAATTGTGATCGTGCCGGTCTGTGCTGGTCCCCTCGAAGGAACGAACTGTCCGTCAGCTTCTTGGCATCAGGATCGGCTCTATGATGCAGGCAGGATGGCGACCACCTGGGCATTCAGCTGATGCAAAGGTGTTGCTCCTGTAGCCGGCAGTGTCAGCTCGCTTGTGTGCTACACTCCCGGACAATACATAATATGTACTATGTCGATCGCAGCGTGTCTAGAACAGTCGCAAGCAGGGTGTAGTAACAGTAGTAGTTTGGGTATGTTATAGCAGCAGGGATGGGCTGAGATGTCCCTCACTCTTTCCTCACTGAATGTGAATCATGCCACCTTTGTTGCGTTGCCCTTTTGGGTCTCGTTCATTTGGGATCTCGTGGGCCCCGTGATCGCACTTATCCCAACTGGGACAGGCCTCGGCGTGACCGACCAACGGCACATGACTAATTGCTCCGCAGCGGATTTCGGCTATCCGCCAATCAGCAGAGTTCATTATGGATCTCCAGCTGAGACTCGCTTTTCCACCTTTTCATTTGACACCAGATATCCGATGTGAAACAAGGAATCGAGCAGACAAGCAATTCATGATTCAGCTACCAGTCGGAAGTGGAATGCCGGTGGAGGAAGATATATAATCAGATCGGTGTGCCCAACGCGATTCGATGTGAGATACTCAGGTTTGGCACTTCTCATGCAGGTCCTTCGTGGAGCAGATGGTCTATCCCCTCCAGCCAATTTACAGGCGGGGCGCAGACAGGCACCCTGGCATTCTATCTAACCGTCCTAAGGCATAGAAGACATGGACTAACGCACCGAATGAGACATCCTTTTTCAGTCAGGGATATCCCGGACTCATTGGGCGCAGGACCGACAACCACCACCGACTATACTAATGCACCTATCCCCGATGGCAGGCCCAACGGCACCGGCTGGATTGGCTGTCCTTCACCCTTATCGCATCTGCCCCTGGCTCACTCGATGCGAGAGATATAGCTCAGTCGGGGATCTCTTATTATTTCCGGTGGTGATTCGGTCCCTGAGCAAGGACCAATTGGCTCCCCAAGCTTGTCCGCGATCCGGCCGAACCCAATCCCCGGTCGGTGCAGATGCTGGAGTTGCAGTGGAAGTTGCCTACTTAGTAGTCTTCCACGATGAAGGACACCTTCAGATCGGTCCGCGTCACATTCACCCTCCCTCTTCTTCTACTCACAAGCAACAACTTCTGAGAAACTCATGATGTTGATCTTTCTCTTCTTACGGCCCGGTGGGCACGTGACTGACCTCGGATGAGCCTTGACCGAGGCTGATTGCCAATGCGGGGATGGCTAACCCGGCTCGGATATACCGCATATGCCTCCTTGCTCAACAGCTCCTTCTAGATATCTCACTCCATTGACTCTAAACGTATCCACGGAGGTGTTCCCAAATAATCACTACGACAACAGCAATATGTCGCAGCTGTCTTCTAACCCAATTCCATTTTCGGAGCCGCCATATCTCTGCGGTCTCCCTTCGCCCTACTACTCGCCGGGCCATCGTCGCTTTCAAAAAGCCTGTCGCGATTTCTTCTGGGAACACCTCCACAGCCATGCTGCCGAGTATGAGAAGGCCGGGCAGGTTCCCGAGCATGTCTTCCACACGTTCTGCAAGCATAATATGCTACTCCCGAACATCGGCGCACCCTTGCCCGTGGACTGGCTGAAGCGCTTGGGAATCGCCGACATCCTGGGAGTCAAGGTGGAGCACTGGGACTACATGTACACGGGAATTTATTTCGACGAGGTAGGTATCCTGGGCACGCCATAGGGTATGACTGACAACTTCAGATGGCGCGAGCCGGTATGGCTGGGCCGGGTTCATCCCTGAACGCCGGCTTCAATTTTGCAATTCCACCTATTCTGAAGTATGGCAGCCAGCAGTTGCAGGAACGCTTTCTCCCGGATCTTTTGACTGGTCGCAAACGCTGCTGCATCGCGATTACAGAGCCGGAGGCAGGCAGCGATGTTGCCAACATCACCACGACAGCCACCAAGACGCCCGATGGAAAGTATTACCTGGTCAATGGTGCGAAGAAGTGGATCACCAACGGGATCTGGTCCGACTTTGCGACCATGGCTGTTCGCTCCGGTGGCCCAGGAGCGTCTGGTCTCTCCGTCCTGCTCGTTCCATTGAAGGGACACCCCGGCGTCACGATGCGCCCGCTCAAGGTTACCGGCCCGATTACCAGTGGAACCACCTACATTGAATTGGACGAAGTCAAGGTGCCTGTGGAGAATTTGGTCGGCCGAGAAGGAGACGGCATGCGAATGATCATGACGAATTTCAACCACGAACGCCTTTCGATCGCGGTCGGCATCACTCGCCAGGCTCGCGTGGCCCTGTCCACCGCCTTCCAATACTGTCTGAAGCGAGAGGCCTTTGGCAAAACGCTCATGGACCAGCCAGTTGTCCGAAACCGTCTGGCTAGGGCGGGCGCTGAGTTGGAAACGTTGGGGGCCTTTGTCGAGCAGCTCCTTTACCAATTGTGCCATCTTCCCAAGGAAGAAGGAGATCGCAAGCTGGGTGGAATCACTGCCCTCTCCAAGGCCAAGGCAGGAATGGTGTTGAATGAGTGTGCGCAGTGCGCGGTTCTCCTGTTTGGAGGAGCCGGATTGACGCAAAGCGGACAGGGCGAGCTGGTCGAGTCGATTCTCCGAGAGGTACCAGCTGCCCGGATTCCGGGCGGTAGTGAGGATGTTTTGCTTGACCTGGCCGTTCGACAATTGGTGAAGGTCTATCAGGCGGGAGAGAGGAAGTTGAAGCAGTCCAAGATATAGTCTCGTTGGTTAACATTCTGGTAAATAAGGTTTATGCAGTACTAGTGCCAGTGACATGTCATATTGAATAGCATTTTTGGCTGCCGACTTATCTTCCTTGAAGCCTTGAAAATTGCCATTGTTCAATTTGCTGCAGGTCGTTATCAAACGTTATCTCCTAATCTTGATTTGCTGAGCAGGTTACATGAGACTCCACTGAGCTGTTTTGCAAAGGCAAATACCACTGCCAGTGCTGTGGCTGGCAGTCCGAGCGGCAGTTGATATCATTGCCAGATTAACTCCCGATAGCGCCGGTAACTTGCAATCCCGCGTCCCAATGGTGGCCACGCAGCTTCCCTGACTCGTCACACCCGTCACTTATCATCGGCCGATCCGACTTCTTATCTGCACCAAGAATGGAAGCGGCCTCAAATAACGGCCCCTTGCCGAAACCTCAACAGCCCATTCAACGCGCACAATGGGTCTGAAGCAGCGGCTACAAGTCAAACATGGGGAGGTGGTGTCGGGAGTCGACTCCAATGCCGATCTGGATCCTATTCCACGGAATTCAGCCCGGCGGACTTGGGGATGGGTCAGTTTGACTGGGTTTTGGATTTCGGAAGCATTCTCAATCAGCATGTACCAGGGTAGGCCTCCTCTATGCATAAATGAATTTCACTAATCGGCCAGTCACGTCCACATCGGTGTCAAAGGGGTTAAACGCGGGTCTGGCGATCGCGGCAGTGGTTATCGGCCACATGCTCGTGTACATCCCAGTGGTGCTCGATGGGTTGGTGTCCAAACAATCACAGAGAGCCATCTAACAGAAACAGATACGTGGGTTCTATATATGGCATCAACTTTCCTATCCTCACCCGTGCCAGCTACGGCATGCGAGGGAGTTATTTTGCCGTCCTCAGTAAGCCATCCTCAATTTATCGACCAAATCTGTCTGACCAGCTCAGTCCGCGGGCTCGTCGCCATTATCTGGTTCGGCACTCAGACCTACCAAACCGGAGAATGCATCTCGTCGATGATAAGTGCCATCTGGCCATCTTTCGAACATCTACCCAACCATCTCCCGAGTTCGGGGCCTATAACTTCCGCTCAACTGCTTTGCTTCTTTCTGGCCATTATCGTCCAACTCCCGCTCTTATACCTCAACATTCCTCAGCTCCGCTATCTATTTTTAGTTAAGATGGTCATCATGCCCATCTTCGGCCTGGCCTTGTTTATCTGGGCCGTCGCCACTGCCCACGGATTCGGTCCCGTCTTCTCTAAACCTAGCCAGATTACCGACGGGACACCAGTGGCAGTGGTTTTTCTGCAATGCGTAACCAGTGCCATCGGCCCTAAAGCCACCCTTGCGTTGAATATGCCCGACTTTACGCGGTACGCGCACTCACCTCGCCAAATTATCTGGACGCAAGCTTTAGGTTTGATAGTTCTGGTTTCGCTCTGCGGCGTTCTCGGTGCAACGGTAACCTCCGCCAGCGAGATTATCTATGGCGTGCAGACCTGGAATCCGCTACAGGTGGCAGCGCTGTGGAACAACCGTGCCGCACAGTTCTTCGCCGCGTTGTGCTGGTCTCTGGCAGCCATAGGGACGAATCTGTCTGCAAATAGTGTGTCTTTTTCAAATGATCTATCCCTTTGGTTTCCCCGGTACATCAACGCACGACGAGGTGCATATGTTTGCGCGGTGCTCAGCATTCTGAGCTGTCCATGGTACATCCAGGAAGAGTATGACATCTTTCCCTTTAAACGGTCAAGTCTAACCTTTATGCAGCGCGGCATCCTTCTCTTCCTTCCTAGGCGGCTATTCTCTCTTCCTTGGGTCCTTAGCCGGTATCATTATAGTGGACTACTGGGTCATCCGGAGACGACAGCTGCGCGTACACTCTCTCTACGATCCGCGAGGTACGCACTTTTTTACGCGGGGATTCAACCTCCGCGCTTTTGCGGCCTTCATCTGCGGGATTGCCCCGAATTTGCCTGGTCTAGCGAATGCCTGTGGGCAGAGTGGCGTGCCGGTCGGCGCAGTGTATCTGTATTCGCTGAGTTGGTTGGTCAGTATTGTCGTGTCAGGAGGGGTGTATTGGGGCCTTTGCAAGGTGTGGCCAGTAGCAGTGGATGACGACGAGGGAGGTATCTGGGAGGGAGTAGAGGTGACTACCAAGGAGGTCGAGAGTTCTGCACACTAAGTGGGATATCACACTAGATAGATTATCATTCCAACACAGGTACTTAACTACAACTGAATAAATTACTATCAGAGATATTCCTGTCCCCTCGCCAACCTCCCCGCCTTAGAACTCGCGTACGCCCCCTTCTTCGCAGTCTTCACTCCCATCCGCACCAACCCAACAAGATGCTGCACCCCAGCCACAACCCCATCCACAACCTGCACATCCCCATTACCTCCAACAGCCTCCTCCACCGCCCCCTTCAACTTCACCATTCCTGCGCACCCCAGGACAATAACATCCGCACCAGCACCATCCACCAACCTCTTCGCCGCACCACACATCGCCCCAATTACATCCTTCCCGCCATCAGCACTACCCTTATCCAGCTCCAAAACCCCCATCCCACATGCCTCCACACCAGCACATACCCCATCCATTCCGAACTTTCTCACCGCATCGGCATGAATAACCTTTGACCTCTGTGAAGTCACCACCACCCCGAACCTCCCTCCAACTGTCCTAGCAGCCATCAACCCGGCCTCCATTATCCCAATAACTGGGGCGGATAGATCTTCTCTCAGGGCATACACGAGCGGGTGATCGCTAAAGCACGCAACCAGGAATGCATCGTACTGATCTGCGATAGGCAGAATAGCCCTGACGGCAGCGGCAGCGGACAGAACAGCATCGAGGGACCCCTCAATTGCCGACGGGGCAGGGATGGGAGCAGTGAAGGGGACAACTTCGACGTCTGGGGGGAGGGTCGGTTTCACCATAGAGATGCAAGTATCTGTCATGGAGGGTGTGGAGTTGGGGTTAATCAGGAGGACCCTTATCTTCCCTTTCTTCTCCGTCTTTGGGACGATAACATCCGAGCTGGTAGTGGACGGTGGCTCCACCACCCCCGTCTGTCCCGTAATCCTCCCATAATGCTCAATTCTGCGATGTCTCGCAAAATCAAACGTACGGGTCTTCCCAGCGCGACAAAGCCCCAAATCACAGTCCGCAATGATAACCTCATCCCCCTTCGTCTTCGCCTCAGCAATAATCCTCCCCTCGGGGTCAACAATACCCGACCCCGCGATGAGGGGATACTCCCCATCGTCAAGCCCACAGCGTGCAGCACTAACACTGAAACACGCATTCGTGTAGCTATGGCACTGCATGACTAGTTTATGATGAAACAGGGACAACTCCTCCGCTTCCTCGGGAGTCATATCCGCCGACTGGCCCCAGAACTGCGGCGCAAAGCCATTGGTATTATATCCACAGGCGACGATTTCGACACCTTGCAGGCCATATTCGCGCCAGGATTCTGCCCAGCGGCGGTCATTGCAGATCATCATTCCGAGGATGGGGTCTACATCCTTTTCACCTTCTTGATGTTGTGATAGTGACGGGGAGAGGAGGCCCGGCACACGGAAAGCCTGGAATCCCAGATTCCCCGGCTTGAAGTACCGCTTCTCGAGCTGATTCACGGCTTTCGGATCAGGAAGTGGCTCCACGTCACCAGGGAGATGGACCTTGCGGTATCTGGACAGAATCGACCCTGTCGTGGCGTGGTAGTACACGCAGCTGTTGAAGTGCTCGCCTGTGTCGGTAGCTTCCGCGAAGCCGACGATGATGTCCACGGATAGAGTGTGGGCTGTGTCGAAGAGTGCCTTTGTGCGCGGCGCGGTCAGGATATCTCCGTGCTCGAACCAATCTTCTAGCTCGGCTTCGTCGACGATCAGGTATCGGGGGAAGAATGTGGTGAAGGCGATTTCAGGGAATAGGACCAGTTTTGCTCCTTGGTTGGCGGCATCCTTGAGAAGGTTTATCATCCGGGTTAGGGTTTCTTCGCGCGAGGACCATTTGTTGGTCGTGCCCATTTGGGCGGCGGCGAGGCGGACGGTGCGAGGCATGATGCTCAATGATTGTGTGGTATACCAGTGAGGGGGGAGTGTTGAGGGGTAAGTTGGGGAATCTGTATCCCTCGGTAGAAGTAGCAGGCAAATGGTAGGTGCAGATATACTTCTTGGTTTGTCCGGATATATTTCCGCGTGATCGTTGTCGAGTTGGCTTGATTAGGAAGGTCGGGGTAGACCCTATCGCTATCTGGGAGTCAATCTTATCGTCGGCCGATCCGATGACCTTCAGTAGTATTAGTACGGTGGAGGCGATAACGATGGTGATTTATTATCCGGAGTCTCTCTGTGATATTCACAGATCTAGAACAACTGTATACGTCGTCACAATGAAAGCTACTCCAGGAATCGACCTGATTATCATCAACGCTACAGTGGTACGTGCCATGCTACCCTCCAGAAACATCGCTCACACCAGCAGGCCACCGCCTCCGATGTAGTCCCCAACCAAGATATCGCCATCTCTGGCGGCAAGATTGTCCTTCTTGGACAGAATCTCCCAGCACTATTCCCCAGTGCAGCAACACTCGATGCAGAGGGCGCATATGTGACGCCAGGTGGTGTCGACAGCCATGTACACCTGCAGCAGGATAACTCCCCGACCGGTGATACCTGGGAGTCGGGGACTCGCTCAGCTATCGCAGGTGGGACAACAACGGTTTTAGCCTTTGCGAGTCAAAAACGGACCGACGAGAGTCTGTTTCCCGTAGTCGAGGAGTATCATCGAAGAGCCAACGGCCAGGCTTACTGCGACTACGGCTTCCATCTCATCCTGACAAATCCCACCCCTAACATCCTCGATGAAGAGCTGCCAGTGCTAGTCAGCAGTGGTATCAGTTCTGTAAAGCTATACATGACTTATCAACCAATGCGACTTGGGGATGGCGAGATTCTGGATGTCATGGAGTCGACCCGTCGGCTGGGGATGACAACGATGGTTCACGCCGAGAACCATGAGATGATCCAGTGGATGACGGAGAAACTAGAGGCGCGCCGCCGTACCGAGCCATATGGTCACGCTCTGGCGCGTCCCAACATTGCAGAGGATGAGGCGACATATCGCGTCATTTCTCTATCCGAGCTGGCCGATGTTCCCATCCTGATTGTGCACATGTCCTCCAAGCTGGCTGCGGCACATGTGCGGGCGGCCCAGACGCGGTTGCTGCCAGTCCACGCGGAGACCTGCCCTCACTATCTGTTCTTCACAAGCGAGCGCCTAAAGGGGAAGAACTTTGAAGGTGCCAAATGCGTGTGCTCACCAGCGCTGCGAGAAGATCCGATGGACCTGGAGGCGATGTGGGCGGGCTTGGCCAACTCAACCTTCACAACAGTCTCCAGCGACCACGCACCATCTAAGTGAGTACCACCTGTGATTATGTAGATCATTGCTGACCAGGTAGATTCGATCACCCCCTCGGCAAGAAGAAGGGCACGTCTAGCTTCACCCAGATCCCGAATGGACTGCCGGGGCTGGAGACGCGACTGCCCACGATGTTCTGCGGCGGTGTGCTCACCGGGCGCATATCCATCCAGAAATTTGTCGAGCTGACCAGCTCGAACCCAGCCAAGCTTTATGGACTTGGGAGCACGAAGGGAACAATCCAGCCCGGTTTTGACGCGGATCTCACGATTTGGTATCCCACGCCAGAGCAGGCTGCCTCCAACGGCACATCGGTCATGACACCATTCCAACTGTCCAACGACATGCTGCACCACGATATCGACTACACGCCGTTTGAGGGCATGGGGTTCACCAACTGGCCTCGATACACCATTCTCCGCGGACAGACGGTGTGGAACCGCGACGCAGGTGGCATTGTCGGCAGCAAAAGAGACGGAGCTTTCCTGAAGAGAGGACCCAGCTCATTGAGCAAGCCTCGGAATGTGTTTGTCAATGAGTTCAATCCGTACTCTAGTTAGTAGTAATGGGGACAAAGCATGAAACCAACATGAGTCACAGAAAACAATGATCATTGACATGGTAACATATAAAATAGTATAGACAGTAGTATAATGCAATCACCCAAGTGCGGTCGATCCAGGTATAATCCCAATCACAGCGCCTTGCACATAAGAAAATTAAAACAAAGCCATCATCACGATACTAACAACCACAACAACAACATTCGGCGGCTTCGAGACAGCACTCGCACCATTCCTCGCAGAGGAAGCAGCAGCACATCGTGATGAGACAGGTGGTCAAGCAGCCACGGTCCTTGGAGGGTTCTTGTTGGGGAGGCGCATATTGCATGGGCTGGGGAGGAGGGTACTGGCCACCAGGAGGAGGGTAGCTATGAAACAGACAGCGTTAGTTTCTGAGCTCGGACAAACATTCATAGTGTTCGGAAGGTACATACTATCCCTGGGGAGGCGGTTGCTGCTGGTAGGACATGGTTGTGGTTCTGTCTGTTCTATGATCTGGACAGAAGAAAGTATTGTATGGGGTCACACAATGGTGGCCAGTGGACCAGCGGGGGAGCTCAGGAGTTATATAGCCGGAATCCACGGAATCCGCTCAGGGCGCCAGGCAGGCAGACGCATTGCTGGCCAAAGTCCGTCAGCCCTGCGGACAGACACCAGACGAGCTGGCGGATCTTGGCCCTGCAAATTTTGCTGGGGTGCGATCCACCGCCGAGGGTGCGATTGGATGTGCGCTCAGATGAAAGTGAATCAGCCATCGAGAAAGAGCATGGAAGATCCCCGTGCCGAGCCCAAAGTATTGGCTTGGGAGGAAGACAACATTGGCGCTAAGAATAGATAGATACATATCGAACCCAGGTCAGGTAACACAACACACCTCTATACTCCATGGGCCTGCCAGTGCGGGCGGGCGCATCCGCAACCTACCACAATAACAACCACGCTTATGGTGATGGTGGCGCCAAGCACACCCTGCCCCGTCGGGCGGGAAAGTGGAGCATCACTTGGGTCAGATTACCTGCCATTTCTCTCATTCTTCCTCATTCAGGAGAACTGAGCCAAGCCGCCAAGAGTTCCGGCAGGGATACTGGGGAGACGCTTACTGGTCACTCCTCCAGGATGAAATTGCGCTCTCCCCAAAGCTGTACCTCGCCTGGAAGCGCCAAGGCCTGGAAGCGCCCCTTAAGGCTGGCGGGACCCACCCAAGCTCCCCCCCGTCATCCAATCACCCCGGACCACCACCATCCCCCAGGGTCTCACGCTCTCCTCGGCTCTGGAAGAACGCTGTTGCCTACGCCATCATCGTGGCTGGTGTCGTTGCATGTGAGGCTGGTTATGCATGGCCATGATTTATTTATGTCCATACTTGCTGCAAGGGGGAACGAATTCCACGTTCGTCCTATCTCTTTGTGGTCATTTACTATAGCCTGTTGAGTCCACATATGACACCGGTAAGATAAAGTTTTCAGTGCAGATTTTATTTCTAGGCTCATGGTAGCCAGAGGAGGCTGATAACACCCATTGCAATACATTGATAGTATTGTATCAGATTTTTGTAGACAAACATATGGATTGATTGGCCAGATGTTTATAGCCCCCGTGATATGATTATCAACCTAATATATATCTAGTGAGTAACTAATCTTGCTACTGTGCTTACAATCTGGATGCTTGGGAGTATTTCTAGTGGTCATTTAATCACACAGGTACATGTTCGATCACATATGAAACTGTAGTAATCATTCCTCATAGTCTCTTTGCAGACTTCATGTTTCATCTCTCATGTATGATATGATATGGAGCACCTCTCTTTTACAGTAGAAGGAAGCTCAACCGTTTACAGCCCCACCAAAGTATCAACCCAAAAGATCGCATGCTGCCCCTCCCCCTTGACATTCAAATCATCGTCACCATTCCGAAACACCGCATCGGGCGCCCCCTCAAACCACAAATGATATCCTGGTCCATCCCCAGGATAGATATTATCGCCTCGCGGCGTGATGATATACCTGCCTTCCTCCTTTGGCCACTCCTCGAACCAGAGATCGGTTCCTTCATCATCGAGTCCAATCCAACTAGTAGAAATACCATAGTAGTCAGCTCGTGCCGTGCCAAGGTAGGTATGTGGGCACTACATACTGTCCCTTCAGAGCTAGATATTTTCCCGTCTCGGTCTCCTTGAACCGGTATCCATTGTCACCTTGCTCAACGTAGAACCGGTCACCCTGTAGTGCTTCCGTGGCATTCGCGTATAGGGTGCCGGATGAATCGTAGTGTTCGACATTTTTGCGAGAATCGTTCAGGAGCTTGTCGTAGCCGGTGATGTTACCCTCGTCATCGCGCTGGAAGGGCAGGCTGCGGCGATAACTGCGCAAGTTGACGGTGTTTCCAGGGGCGAATTTGGGGTGGTGAGTACGATAAGTGCGGCCCATTGTGATTGTGAGTGTGCGGATCTATAATAGTACAGTAGTTGCAGTGGTGGTATGTTGCTAGATGTTGTCTGGTGGAATGAATGGACCATCGAATTTAGAGGAAGACGTGGCTTATATGCTTATCCCAGAGGTTTCTATGTACTTGATCGTCGACTAGATTGATATCATCATGACTATAAACATGTGTTCATCTGCAATGAATGAGATGAACTGTCTGTGGGCCTGATCTGGTAAAGTTCGTAATGGCGACCCTGATCACTTCCGAAAATAGTAATCCGTGAAGCCATCTCCAAGGTAGGTGAAGACTTCATGCATACCTAGCGCAATTTGCAAGACGATCTATATCCACATACTGTGTATGCTGATGATGTTTCTTTAAGATAGATGTCATGCTGATGCTATATATCGATAGTATCAAGCAACGCTCTAGCCGCTTTGTCAAACGCTATGAATGTAGCGGGATAGGGGTATCAAAACTTCCCCTTGAGGACAATCCTGAGAGTAGATCCTATTTACTAACAAGGTGCATAGCTACGTAAAGTGGGCGAAGCAGTTGTCTGGGGGCTGGATTGAGACTCGTCTTTCCAAGTGTGAGGTAATTATGTGTTGCTCCATAAAATGTCATGCCTGATAGTCATACGTACAATCTGTCAATTTCTCTACAAACGACTGGAATATCTTTTGAAAATATCTCCTTCCGACCTATTTGATGCCGGTAGTACCTCCTTTGACGATTTGACTTCCCACATAAAAGAGACCCGACAAGTTGACTCTTCTAGCAGTTGCGAGCTTCCCGACACACTAGCTACACAATAGCCAGATAGGCTAGCGGCAATGAAACAAGTGAACAGTAAATTTTTTCTCACATACATTTGCCATCTCGAAAGTAAATTAAGGTTATTGTTGGTGATGTTGTACCCTATGCGTAAACCGATAATTGGATACGTCACTATGATGAGCGTCCGCTTAGTTCGGTGGAGCCCCACCACCGCCTCAATTGGCAGAACTTAATTGATTTTTTCGCCATATGATGGCAGTATTTACTGATACAAAAGCTACTTAAGTGCTAGGTAATCAGAGAATATGAATCCAGAGTAATGTAGACTGATTTTCGTATAGGTCGGGATACACTTGTGGCTACTTGCTTCATATTGTTGCAACAAGCCCGGTCAATATATATATTATTTATATACTTAGGATCATCCTCAAAACCATACTAACGAATCACAAGGCATCCCAATCTCCATAGGACCCTTCAAGATTATGTTTCGAATACATTGAGAGTTTCACATGAGCATTGTACATGTTAATGAGATGAGATGGCAGTTAAGGATATAAATCAGTACCATGTGCATTTTCTTTTTGGACGTTAATTCTCTGATACCGGTGTGCATCATGCCGTCTAGACCCTTATCTGGTGCACTGTAGTCTCTCACGTTGCACAAAGTACATGAGACCATCACATTAGACCCAAAGAGGGTTATTCCGACGAGAGTCTGGCATCCAGCCAAATCGCGGCATGTCAGACGCGGGTGCCTGCAAGTGGAGATACAGACTCTTCTGCTGCAAATCTATCGCATAATGGTTTAGTGGTATACGCTTAGTGATGCTTACCAGATGCTCCCGTAAGAGCGGGAAAATATGGGTCCAGGAATGCCGGCGGATAAATCTATAACTGCTGTCCCCAGAGTTATACAGTCCCTGCAGTACCGAGTGCAGAGTTAGAAGCCTAAACTGGTTTGGGGTAAGTGGATAAATGGCATAATTCATTCTATGTTAATGACATCCAAAGAGTCGCAAGTACACTGGGCTATGATTGTGTGTTCACGCAGTTACCTGGAAGACTGTCTAGCGCAAGAGAGTCTGTGAAGCCATCCTGTAATAAATTGGTTTTGCATGTGGTGCAGCCATCGGGACTTGCTCGCAGAAAAGCATCACTACAACACAGATTATGCATAAGCGTGGTGAACAGGATCTGTCTTCGGCCAAATTACAAAATACTAAAAATGCTGCTTCATTATTCAGGTACATTCTTGCTTCGCGGAATAACAATATGAGTGATCTATAGATGGGGCAAAAAGTGTCTCTGTTACACCGACTCTTAGTCTTATTGACGGATACACCGCTCTCTTCCGCGCCAGATGGCAAGTCACGTCCTTCGTGATTATCCCTTTTCCGTGAAATGTTTGCTTCAACTCTCCCGAAACCGGCTGGTCCATGTTTTCATACCCTCATACAATGTCAAAAAGACTTTTGATCAGCGGGATAACCTTGTTTTGATTTAGATCCGATCACAACAAAGAAAGCAGCTCGTAAGAGACCCCAACTGGCCCTACTCGCGCTGATTATCTCGGCATCCCATCAGTACTAATAGTGGATCCATGCTGCATGACACGCCAATCAACCAACCACTCAATTATTAATGCACGGTAGCACGGGCGCTTATTAGAGGGTCTGCGGGGTTGGTTATCAGTTTGCCAGCCAGCTAGACTAACATATCACCTCAAAATTTTCCAACTCTCCAGCACCAGTGCATCCTAAACCACAACCGGGATTTAATAGCTCCATTAACGCAGTCTCAATATCATAATCTAAATTCTATTCTCCTTGGAGGGCAACGCAATGTCCACAGTCGACAGCCCCTTGCTAGGGCACAGACCTCAACACCCTCATCCAGACGATGTTGAGCATCCGCTGGGCCACAGTAAACGGCGGCAGGGACCCGGCTCCAATGTTCTAAAAATTCTAGCTGTCTTCTGGACATTTCTGATCATGGGTGCGGGTGATGCAGCATATGGGGTAAGGACTGTAGAGAAGAACAGACTTGCCGTTATTGAAACTAACACTCGTCCAGCCTTTGATTCCCTACGTAAGTGCAATCTCGCCATCCTGTTGTAGATGAGCTATTGACTAGAAAGCTTGAAAAATACTACGACATCTCACACGGCACCGTTTCGCTTCTATTCCTATCTCCCATTTGTGGTTACACGCTTGCGGCACTCCTGAACAGCGAAGTCCACGTCCAAGTGGGTCGTCGCGGTGTCGCTTTCATTTCAGCGGCCTGCCACTTGCTAACGTTTAGTATCGTCTCCTTGCATCCTCGATTCCCTATCGTTGTGGTATCTTTTGTGCTGTCTGGGTTCGGCAATGGACTAGCAGACTCAGGATGGAACGCTTGGATAAGCAGCCTGTCTCGCTCGAATGAGTTACTGGGGATGCTGCATGGTTTGTATGGGCTGGGAGCTGTGCTAAGCCCATTGATCGTGTCCGGACTGGTAACCAAGGCCAATGTTCCATGGTTCTACTTTTACACTATTATGGTACCGCCTTCCGATGTCTACTACCTCCGCTACTTGCTCATATGGATATAGGCTGTGTGCGCTACTATGGAAGCTGTTGTCTGCACCATCGCCTTCTGGGATGATAGACCGATCGCCAGAGGAGCGGGCGATGATTCCGATGACAGCGAACATGGTAGCTTGAAACGTGCTCTTTTCCAACAGCCCTATGCTCGGGTGACTTGGATCTGCGCGCTCTTCCTGCTCATTTACGTCGGCATTGAAGTCGCTTTGGGCGGATGGACAGTGGTCTTCATGATGCAGATACGCCACGGTAACCCGTTTGCCAGCGGCATGGCTGTTACAGGATTCTGGCTGGGCATCACCTGTGGCCGCATTTTCCTCGGATTTGTTACGTCGATGATAGGCGAAGAACCGGCAGTTACAGTATGTCATCTCTCACCCTTTCCACCTTGATCAGTGAGTTCGTTCTTCGCTCATGCTCACTTTCTGCAGCTATATTCCGTGTTGGCGATAATCTCCGGCTTCATCTTCTGGCTCGTGCCAAACTTCAACGTGTCGGCAGTCGCGGTCTCTCTGCAAGGCTTCTTTCTTGGCCCTCTATTCCCGGTCCTCATTGCAGTGGCCACCAAGCTGCTTCCCCAATCACTGCACGTGAGCTCGATCGGGTTTGCCTCGGCGATCGGAGGGGCTGGAGCAGCATTGATGCCATCGGCGATTGGTGCAGTCGCAGAAGCCAGAGGGGTCCAGATTCTGCAGCCTTTCATTCTTGGGCTCTCGGGTGTGGCCCTGGTATTGTGGATGTGTTTGTGGTGGATTTCAAAAGGTAATTCACGGAGATCGAGTTAAAGAGGCCAGACTGCCCGAAAGATAAGCGCTCTGTTAATGCAAATCATCCTGGACGATACGAGATGTGGTAACATTATCATCGCTGTGCCAAGGATGGGACCAGAACAATCACCGCTGTTTCACCATTTACCTGACTGTGTCTTTGAGTATTAAAACTTCATTTGTTAGACCAGATAGAGAAGAAAATTGGGTTAAACAAAAAAAAAAAGGCAAAAAGAGAAGAATACATACAACAGAAGGGATTCGCTGGTGGTCACCCACCCAACTACTAACCTCCCGGCGTGTGGCTTGAGTACGGCTGAGCGGACGGGAAGCCCTATTTTCCACACCCTGTGGTCGTATGTACTGAATATCAGGGGAGCAGGGTCTATATGCATGGTATCGTTATCAAATAGGAGGTAAATGTTAAGCTGGACCCTTTCAATTGCGCGTTCATATAACTGCTCCACAGTAGTATGCTAGGTTCTGTAACCCGATCATGGCCATTAATGCATGTCCACTTTTCAGGGAACCGGATCTCGCAGGAATACCATGTAGATTCCCTCACAATCAATTAAAGAATGAAAACTATGGTACAGTACCCTAGCAAAGGGAATCACTACAAACAGAGCTCCGATGGTTGCGGAAAGCTTCGGGCATGTGACTTGACCGCAACCCCTTCTGAGGCAGGGATTCCCCGCTTCCGCTAATCATCTCCATCATCGCTTTCTTCTTTTCTCCCCCGATAATTCAATGGTTCGCGATTGTTAGCTCCGGCATAATGGGCGGTGCCCCATACTATACCTACGATGGACACACCACCCCCACGTCGACCTGGTCGCCAGAAGCGACCGCGAGTCCCTGATGCGCTCC